TTACTAATAATAGCGCCTTCTAATCCTTAACAGCTACGCTAGCTACCTTACGCTAGATTTTTTAGAGTATTATAAAGCTAAACGCATTATAGTTATAGTGTACCTACTATATTCTACACACAGTTTGCAGCTGTTAGATATTATGCTCTTTTCGCTACTCTTAAAACACTACACTAAGGAGCTTACCTAACGCCTCTAGCGTACCTAGGGCATCTTAAGGATTACTAAACGCAACTTCTATAGTAACTTTTAGCTAGCTTAGAGCTCTATAATAACTTACAATTTTATATTAAAGAGTTTTTAAGCTACAGGCGTATAGCTAATAGACGCTAATCTAGTACTTTAACGCTTTAATAACTAACTACAATAATAAGATAATAAGCTAAGAATAAGGGAGCAAGGTAATAGTAATACCTAGCCTTAACTACGCAAAATTTTTAAAGCTGCAGTAGCTAACAAGGCTAAATTTAAAGCTAAACAGCTGTCCTAAGGCCTACACTTACTACAAGTTAATAATAAGCTTCTCTGCCTCTAAAACGCAGAGCTTCGCGCTAAACTTAACCTTATAAGATCTTAACTGTCTAAATTAACAACACTAACTACTTAAGAGAGCAACAATTAGCACAGCAGAGCTGTATTCTATAGTCCTAAGAAGCTTGCTAGTCTCCGCGCGCGCAAGGCCGCAGAACTAGATAAAGCTGTAGAGCAACAACTCTAAAAAACTTATAATAGAGAGAGAAAAGCAGTAGAAGCAGCTAAGAAAAAGCGCTCTTAAGAAGCTGTAAAGGTAGCTTAACAATAAACTAAAATTGCTAAGGATACAGAGTAGTTACAGCAGCGTAAGAAGAAAGCTGCTGCACAAGAACTTAAAAAGCTACAATAACAAGCTATAATACTAAAAAAAACTTATAATACAGTAAATAAGCGTAAGCGAGAAGCCTTAGCTAAGCTAGTAAAGAAAATAACAAAGTGTTGTCGTGTTGTTGCTCTATTAAGTTAGGTAGTTAATAGTCTGCCTTAGGCGCCCTCTCTACCTAAATTTAGCCTGCACACCCGCTAAATTAAGATACTAGCGAGATACAAGTAGTGCAAACGCTTTAGTAGCGTCTATATATTAATACACTAAAAAATCTCACGATAATAGCTTTTGTAGGTGGCTTAATAACCTTATCTTTTTTGTCGTCTGATCTTGGTGGGGTGGCTCGTTGACTGAACTGGCTCGTTGGGTGCGCACGGACTGTAGCGAGGGCCTATCAGGAAACGCCAATCTCTATCTCATATCCATTCAAGTCATCCATGAACGCTAATCCCATGTTCAACATCCCCATAGCAGAACCATCACCATCCACCGCCGGCCGAAAACCGCCACTAAAGACTGTTGTCAAGAACCTTTTGTTTTCCTAAATGGCAATCGTACCAGCTGTTGCATCTCCGACCTTCAGCAGCTTATAGTCATGCGTTACCGGCAGTTTGACCAGCCGTCTAGCAGTTTGTGTAGCCGCAGTTGGCCTTGCAGAATCCGTCAAACAGGCGGCAGGTATCCGCACGGCAAGTCTGGTCACAAGCCTGAGGGTTGAACCAGCATGACTTGGACTATTTGGCAAGTTTCTATTAGTAAGAAGTACAAAGTGGAGCAAGGAGGGGGATATGGAAAGGATGTGCTTACAAGACGGCACTTGGTAAAGTTGTTGTCGCAGTCCCGGCAGTTGGGCTTGTCGACTGGTGGAGGGGTGACTTGGGGTGCGGCGACGGGATCGGCAACCGGGCTGGGGTTGGCGAGGGGAGTGGCCACGGTGAGGGCAGCGAGGGCGAGAGTGAGGATGGAGGTTGCGAATTTCATGGTGTTGAATTTAATGAAGTGATTTGGTTATGTGGGATACGATGGCTGTTCGACGGAATTGAGGAGATAGTCTGGCGCGGATTAGAAGAAAAGAGAGAAGACAAAGTAGTGGTAGATGTATGCTAGAAGAGGTGAGGCTGCGGTTAGGCATCGAGCAGGTGAAAGAATTGTTACACAACAGTGGAAAGGTAGTGATCTGTGCGACAACGTACATAGTGAAACGGTTGCTAGCGGTCGAAGCGCGGCTGGCTCAAATGGTTTAAACAGTATCGAGCAAGGATAGCTGTGGGGATTGCTCGAAACAAGCTGATGACGGATTCAATGTTCGGATATCCCGACAAATTGCTAGCAGAAAGGACGAAGGCGGTGATGATCAACTGCAATGAGTTACCTAGAGCCATACCATATGCTATCAATGCGAAGGAGACTTGGAGATCACATCTCAGACAAGGAATTTGAGCAATGACACAGAGGAGGAAGAGGATATGTGGCTGCTCTTGGATTCTACGTACTCAACCCTGATCTCTAATCACCGCGGTATCAGTGATTGAATCTGCAAGCGGCGACGGTGTAGCAAGTAGTACATATAATGAGAATTCCATAAGCACTTATAATCGATAGATGCTATGTACTCAGTAGAGGCTCAACGGTACACTTTCGCGGTAAGGGAAATGTGATAGTAGCGCTCAAGCTTCGTCCTCCCATGTCAAGAATCCAATACTAGAGGACATTCTGACGATAAATGCAAAGCAATTAGTGAGTTACCAGCTGAGTTGAAGCTCGCGGTAGACAAAAATCAAAGTGGCCTTGCCAAATCAGCAAGAGGCATCTTTCTCGATTGGTTGACTCAGTCACTTTCAAAGTCAAGAGCTCAGTCATTAGAAAGTCATGATTGATATATCATCTAATCTACCATTACGGACGACCAAGTATCGTGTTCCTTAGTCCAGTCCTTGCTCCTGTTCCCATACCCGCAATTGCAGAACATATTCAGCATCCATCGTTCTTCATCTCACCCTCAGTGTTGGCCAGTTCCGTGCGCACCACTCGTTATCGTTTGGAGGTGAATGTTGATCGCTGAGTACTCTAGTTCTCGTCATGGCCGCTAACCTTTGAGTCAGCGAGTGCGTCATGGTTGTCCAGAAGAACTTACGGCCTGTTCTTGCATTTGGGATAGATGCAGGTTGGGTGGCACGGCTTATCAAAACCCTTAGGCTTGAGATCACACACCTCAAGTTCGCAATAGGTTTCGCAAAGCACGGTACGATCAGATGTATCGCATTTCTATTATACAATTAGCTTTCTGTGTAGAATGTGCACTAGTGCTTCCATGTGAAAGTGTTTACTTACATGCTTGCAAGGCATGTACACGTCCCTGCACGCGGCGCAGAGAGCGTCGTCGTTCTTCTTACTACCACCACCGGCAAAGGCGACAGTGGCGACGGCTGCTAGAACGAGGACAGTGAGCTTCATGTTGGCAAGCTTGTTGTTGTGGTTGATGTTCAATTGGTTGTGATAAAGTGTAAACTGTGTCCTGAATATCGAGTTGATGGTGGAGTTGGAGGAGAGAAATGGAAGGCAAGATCGCAGAAATATATACTTGGTGGATAGGTGAGAGAGAGCAGCGACGCGTTAGGCAAACAAGCGGGCTCGCAGCGTTGTCGACGAGGCTTCATTGAGAAAAGCACAGCAAGGTGAGTGAGCGGTAAGTGACCGGTGGTTGCCTAGAGATTGGGTTTCATTTGTGTTGTTTGCGGTCACCTGTACTCAAGGCCATCTCTTTGGTAGATGTATTTGGTCAGCTATTTGTGATTGGCACTCTTCTATAACATCTACCTATGCACCTACAGCGTGAGAAGTCTAGCTTTCATTCGCCACGAGAAAATCCCTTATCCTCATACTTCCCCCCTTTATCAGTCATTCGGCCATACGCAAAACAGGAACCCTGATGGAAATAGCAATTGTGCCAGCACCACCAGCCTAGGTGGTCGTCGTCGTTGTTGCAGAGCTCTTCCGCACAAGCGGCATCCCAAAATGGATCGAGGTATGGCGAACGAGTAGGGTTGTGTCGCTTGATCATAGTTAGTGAGCTAATAGAGATAGTGGATGAGTATGTGTGAGGGGAGCTTACGAGCAGGCAATCGTTCCACTCGTATCCGCACTGGTTGCAACTATGCCAAAAGGGTGCCTTGTCGACAGGATCTTTGTTGGCAAGGACTGTGGAGCCAAGCGCCGCCATGAAAACGGTGATGAGCTTCATGTCGGCTCTGGGGTGCGGTTTGGATAACGAGAATGAGCTTTGGGTGATCTATGTCGGCTCTGAGGATAAGCAGAGATGGCGCAATGGTTTGAAGTCGATGAACAAGAGCGAGAGGTGAAAGGGAGTGTGCAGATTTTAACACATGCTGCCGCTAGCTTTGTGGGTGGACTGACTTCCATAGTGGGCAAGAATTCGTAAGGACAGTGGCGCCGACCGATTGAACTACAGGTGGCGAGATACAGACACAGGACTAGTAATGTCGACGTATATCTAAGCAGTAATGTGTCTTGAAGATGTTGAGATGATACCTGTGCTCCCTTGCTCCAAATAAAATAAAGCCGATTTCAATGCTAATTGGTTTGTATCACGATACTGGAGATCGGTTGTAGAGGAGTGCTATCATACGAATGTTCCTGGAGTTCTTACAAATCAATAGATTATTGCGGGGTTTTACATCAGCAACATGTTATCGTCTGCGTATCAGACACGTCATAGTTATCTTCTGCTTCTCGATAGTGTAAGGCACGTAAGGTCGCTTAAGTCATATATATCATAATAGCCTCGTTGTCCACATTTGGAAAGCATACGTTGGGCATTTGAATTGATATCTAAAACCTTGACTAACAAGCCCCGAAGTTGTGAGCTTGCAAGACCACTCATCCAAATCTCGAAAACGCCCACTAGCACCTGTTCTTTTGTGGATCAATAACGGAATCTGCAGCAGAACCTTCAACAAGTTTATCATATTGGCATAGGCGGTTTACCCTTGAATGCAAAGACAGTGAATGATATGATGGTATCGCTATTCTGATCACTGTGGTATTTTCTTGGAGCAGTTGTGGCGATTGTAAGCTGTCGATGGAGGAGCGGTTTCAAAGAGAGATTGGATGTGAGAAAATTAGTGTGGTCGATGGTTCCAAGATTTCTCGTCATTGCAAATGACCGTCACCAGATGCGCGCATTATTCTTATGGATTGAGAGAGCGCCTCCATTTAATTCTCAAGTCGCATCACTAGATACAGAAGACCATCAAAGATGAATCGTGAAGAAAGCAAGAGCTACAACATCCCGCCTCTTTCGATTAATAGGTGCATGCTTCCTAGCCATAAACTCTTTGCAAGCATATCTAGGTGGCTAACCTTGTGAACCATGTTGCATCCCTGTCTCTCTGCATCGGTGGCTTCGAATTACCGGTGGTCTTTGTACTCATTATCCATGCAGCTTGAGGAACGTTGAAGTTAGCCAAACCCTCCACACTGTTGCTTTCTGGTGATCAAGTACCTGACTATGCCATTCGTCCTCTCCCCATTTCCCGGTATGGAGCTTGCATTGATGCTTCGTGCACCAATGTACGCTCGATTCGGCCCATTGCTGGCAGAGTGAGCGGCATTCCTGGTTGGGATAACGGAGGTCGTTCCCATGCTCGTTTCCATACTCCTTTCCGTTGGTGCAGTCCTGTTGGAAATGATTAACAACCTTAAATCGGACACGAAAAGGCTTCAGAATAAGATTAGATACGTACTGTGTAGCACGCCCAGTAGTGTCGATGGCACTGCCCGCATTCGCCCCAATCCCCTTGTCTGTACCCTCTGTCATGCTGTTTACCACCCTCTTGGTATTTCCAATCTGTACCAACAGCAACGGTAGCGAAGAGCGCGAAGAAGCTGAGGAGGAGGAGGAGGAGGAGGAGTATGGATTTCATTGCGGAGTGATGATTGATCTCAACGGAAAAGGTGAGTACAAAGCTATGATGCTGTTGATGGGTGGAAGGCCGTTGGAGTATAAGAGTGATGGATTGATGGATTGATGCTACGGAGGATGCTGACTATATATCAAGTACGCTAAGGGTTGTGGCAGGTACCAATAACAAAATGAGATGGCTCCTTCTTCAAAGGCAACGGTACTACCACATGAGCTAGCCTCTCTTCCAATGTTGCCAGCTCGACGCGAAGGAGAAATATGGTGTAGAATTAATCCCGCAATCGGACCAAATTTTTGCGACCAACAGATCTCAAAAAATCCCAAAGGATGCCAAACCACTGACATAGAGCCCACTGTATCCATAAAAGTCTGCAAGCATAAGGTAATAGTCAACCTGGGGCTTACAACTTTGTGTTCCGAAATACGCTTTTAACTGTTAGTTCGTACCGTCTTTTCTGCGCCACCTGGATACAAAACGTCTCGCGCTGAGTCGTCATTATGATACTGCTGTCCAAAATTTGGAAGCAATGGGTCACCGTAGATTGGCTGTGCCATATGATCCAACTTGACCCACACACCCTCCTTGGTTGAAGAATAGTAAGCAGACGCTGAAACCATTTGATGTTCGTGGGGGCGAAGACTACCTTCGCCCTCCCACATGTTATCCTCATCCTCAGGGCCACCGCTGTACGGATCTAAGGACTTGCACTTCAGATATGGAGATACTGGGTAGGCAGACCTCGGTACCAGATCTCGTACCGGATCGCCGATACCGGAAAAAACGCTGATGGGCTGTGTGATACGTCTTTCTGGTCGACAAGCGCGACATGACTATGATCCCGAGATGCCCGTTCTGCCGAGGGTTTGATTGGTAGCTTCTATTGTGCCACGTCGTCAAGTCGTCTACCTTTTACTGGCTAATCTTTCATTGCTTTTTGAATCAGCTACCTGAATGGTTGTCTCTCTACTTCTTCTCTTCTGCCGCGAGAATTGTAAGAGCTTCGAACGCAAAATCTCTACAATTGTCGCTTTCGCAGCTCATTATTGTAACGTGGCGGGAGCCCTTTACATCATTTTGTCTTTTTGTGGAGTCATCATAGTCTGTATCGTTTCTCAAAACCTTTCATTCCCTGCTCTTGGGTAAGTTTATAACTGATTCCACCGTGATTGACTGTAGCAGATGGTGTGCGGCTGGTTACTGAAGAAGTTATATAATCCAAAGAAGTAGGCCCGTTCATTGAGGCATGGTTCATTCCTCTAGCTGGTTTCTGAACTGGATCTAGTCAGCTACCACTAAGAAGACTAGCATCACTCGGTTATCAAACATAGGCTATCTGGCTTACACTCATGAAAAGGAGACTGAGGAGAGTTGTCCGTGTCTATGAGTAGGCTACAGTCGTTCATTTGGATATCGTTGTTGTCACCTGCAACATGCTGGTCCTCTTGAAATCGCCTTAAGCCTCCATTCACTCGTCATCTCGCAATTTTCCCGCTTAATTGTTCGGCTGTGAAGTTTCTCCGGGGATGATCAATGTAGCTTCCTCTTGAGGCACATCACCATAATTGTCGTCATGGTAGCTGTCATTGCCATCACAGCACTCATCGTCTTCGTTTCCTTTGTCAACGTAAATGCGGTCATTGTTGCTTCTATGATTGCCGTCATGATCACTGCTATGGTTGCTAGCACGATTGCTTGCACGATCGCTCTTCGCATTAGATCGCGTCGACGCAGTGCTTGAAGCTCGCTCCATGTCCAGGTTTTTACTTCCAGTAATTTCAGTTGAAGGTGATGCTACATCCTCGTGAGATCCAGTCGTGTCTGCATAATCGTATTCCAAAGTACCATCCTTCATGGCTGACAGCAGAGCTCATGGGTCACTATCGATGTCAACCATCCTGTTTGGATCTATTGTTGTAGTAGTTGGAAGGGCTGATGATTGGTGTGCGCTTCTCGGAGAATCATTTGATAATTCATTTGCATCGCTCATAGCTGGCTGGGCAGTGTAACCTACAGAAGGCTGCATGTGGTCATAAGACACCGAACCCACTGACGAGATTTCAGACGCCATGCCTGCTGCAGGCTGTAGAGAATCATAACTTGGTGGGTTTACTGGTGGAGCAGCCATTCCTATCGAGGTGTCTAAAGGATTGTGAGCGGAACTCCTTATCAACGGATCATCCGACGTCGACAATGTGGTCTCCGGTAGCCTCATGGGTCGATAACCTAGCCTCCTGGTCGGAGAGACAATAGCATCACGTTGGAGATAAGATGGCGTCGACGCGTTGGTACTCGACGATCGACGAAAAGGATTCGTGCTGTTCAACCTATCCAAAACGCTTGGATCGAAGCCTTCTGGTACGTACGGACGTGGCTTTGACGGATCGAAAGGGAGCGACGAGGCGCGGATGCTGTCGTAACCACTAGATGATATCGATGGTCTGGGATAGGACGATGGCGAAGTGGAATTTGGCTTCTGCAATCGGGGCGAATTTGATGCATCTTGGAACTTCGATGCGAAGGGACTGTTATTAGTAGCGACTGCAGACGTCCAAGCCGGTGATTGAATCTTCGACGTGTCACCAACCTTGTTTGCCATATCTTGTAATGCAGCCCGCTTTACCGGATCCGAGTTGAAGTCCGCCATCTTTTCGAGAAGATTTTTGGTTATAGGAGGTGCTGGTTTGAGTCGAGGCTGGACGTCACCTTCATCGAAGTTTAAAGATACTGGGCCGTTGTAGCGCTTTTTCGGCATCGATTGCTGGGCTGGAGCTTGTAGAGGCGAGAACATGACGGCTGAGGACGTGGAAGATCCCGTACTAATGCCTTTCCGATCTTTCCGAGACTTCGGTGTCAAAAATCTACCACCCTCTCGCTTTTCTGGTCGATCGATGCTCTCCATAAAGTCCAGAATCTGACTGTCAGTTGTGCAGCCAAATCTCGCCGCTTCTTCCCTTGTCGCGTCAGTGATTATCAGATCGGATTCAGTACCATCGTCTTCAGGTAAGGATGCGCTAACGCTATTCCCCTTTTTACTGGGGTAAGCTTCTTCGCTGACTGGCGCAGAGTTATCGATAAGCTCTCTACCTCCATTCTTCAATACCGGTATCTTGCGATCCATTTCCTCCATTAGCAAGTTCGCTTCAATCGTATCAAGGTCGGTGCTGTCAGGTGGATCTGACAACGTTGATTCACTATCAGAGTAGTCGAAACGGAAAGCGGCATTGGATCTAGTTTTGGAAGCAGCGACTCTTGCGCTGAGATCGTCATCCACGCGACCTTCTACTTCATTTGCAGCAATATTGTTCTCTTCCCCAACTTCCCCTTCAAGTTCGTCTCGGGGCTCGGCACCTTCGGCTTCAGGATGGAACCAATCGACCCCTTCTTGGGCATATTGGAAGTTTTCGTGATTCTCGCCGAAAAACTCATATGCTGCCATGTCGACTTTTCGAAAGATTTGGCATGGTTGCCCGTATGTTGTCTCTAATGGCCTCATGCCCGCGGATCGATGAGGTGGGTAATCGGGGTTGTCGACGATCTGTCTGTCTTCCCAGAGCTGCACCAGGCGCGTTTTGGGCCTGATGTCCGTCCAATTGAGACCATCGGTATCGGTATTGGTTTCATCGTCGACGGCAGTCGGGAGCTGAACATCACCTGGGGAAGTATCTGGTGAGGTCTCAAAGTCGTGGTCGATACCGTGTGTCTGTTGATAGTCGGTGTCATGGTTGTTGTATTCGATCCTCATAATCCCCGCGGTAAGATCTCCGTGCTTGTCATCGGCTCTACGAATGTCATCATGACTCTGGTTTCTGATACCTGGTAGTTGCACGTATCCATTCAAAGGCAAACCAAGATCTCTTTGTACATCTATTTGCATCTGTTTATCTTTCTTCGTGGCCTCAATCTGTGCAAGCTGTTCAGTTCCGAAGTCATCGATCTGATGAGATGAAGAGACATTTCCGTCTGAGTCACCGGAGCTTACATTCGAAAATGGGCTGTATGTACCCGACGGATCGATAGGAGGGTCTTGCGCAGTCGAAGATCTCGGCATGTTGGGAGAGGAAACATGACCATTGGCACTAGCGTAGATGCTGTCCCAGTCATCATCATCGTCAGTGATATGATCTTGCCCTCCCTCCATACCAGATGGAGTCGTAAAACCCTCATTTGGTTGACTGTCTGCACTCTGAGAGGCTTGAATCGCTTTCAGCAATCCAGTAGTGTTGAATTGCGCTGATGCAGATGCATTGCAACCAGCATTGCCCATCTCGGCTTCGCCTATGATAGCTACATCAATCATTTCACTGTCTTCGTCGTTTTCCATCATGGTAGTATCCGCAGCGGCAGCAATGGCTCCGCCAGCGTTGGAGAATGGTGCCGCTGAAGTAGTCCCACCAACCGTGGATGCCTGAAGACGTCCATGTGGCTCAGAACAATCGCTGCTATCATCGCCGCCATCTTCATTCTTCGGGTCGTTCGATTCAAGTTTGTTATCGGAGGTATGAACGTCATTGCTGATCTGGGTGTCGAGAACGATCTCACCGTGAATGCCCTCTCCACTCGAAGAACACCCTACCATGTCACCCATCGATATCGACGGATGGGCTACAGGTGATGGTTTATTGGCGTCAAGTTTTTCACCATCTCCAGATGATTTGTCAGAAGTAGGCCGGTTCCCACCAGTTCCTCCATCTTCTTCCTCAGGTTCATCACCATTTCCTCCGCCCCGATCAGAAGCCTCTTCGTTATCTGTACCTCCCATTGTTATATCGTCTCCAGAATTTGCTGACAAGACTTTCAGCTCCAACATATCAGCACCATTTTCCGGAACACCACTCATAGGTGTGTCGATCACATTACCATGCTCGTCTTGAAAGCCGTCTCCAGCAGTTGAGGGTATTATAACCGGATCCACATCCATGAGAGTCCTTTCAACCGGTTGTTCCGTTTTAGTTCCTGTCTGCTCGTTATCATCGCAGTTGTCGGTAAGCGGAGGTGCTTCATCGGAGGCCGCCTGTACCGAAGTAATGGCTTCATTTCGTTTAGCTCCACTCTCCATCTCCTCGTGCAGCTGTTTAGCTGCCGCCAAATCTTCATCGTCTAGTCCTTCAGTTTCGTCTATGGGCTCTTCCTCAAAGGTTCTGTCATCGAGACCAGTTACGCCACCGCTTGAGCTAAATTCTTCTTCATCGTCGCTGTCTCCCTCATTATGTTGTCGGCCTTGCTGTTGACCATCCGCCTGAGCGTTCTCCACAAAACCAATCCTATCTTCTGTACCGGTATGCCCCAGCTCGCCAGCAAGCTTGTCTTCGTCCAGTGACTTGCTTGGACCGGGAGATGGCTCAGCACTCTGGACAATAGATGCTGAGACCGTAGGGTTTGGAAGACTTGATGATCCCTGCTCGCTACCCGGATCCATGGCCGGCATACCAGGTTCGGCCAGCCCAGTCACGGGCGCGAAGGCAAGCTCGTGGAAAGGTGTTCTGTCTAAGACCGCAGGCGTCGTCGTGGTTGCGATTGGGGTACTGGTCTCATGATTACAATCCCCTTGCGGTCTGGAGTCTGACGAGCTTGCCATGAGGATAGGGAATGCATCTGGATTATCAACCTCTGTTGGCATTTCATTTATGCTGACGATGCGCTCTTGCGTAACATCAGGTGTTGCCGTTGGAGCAGATGCAAACAGAGAACTGGAAGAAGTCGCTGGGTATGATGAATCGGCTCAGACTGGAGAAGACGTGGTCGAAAGAATAGTTGTGGTCTGAGGAGCAGGTGCGGCAGGCGTAGCAGGAGTGAACAGAGGAGCAGGTACGGATGTAGTCGTAGATGGAAGTGCGGAAGCGAGAATCGAAAGATTGGTAACCACAGAAACCGCTGAATCTTGAGCGAGAGGGGTCGGGACAGACTCAGCAAGCGGCCTCAAGGTAGCTTCTGATATTGCTGTCGCAGGCATCTCTCCGCGCAAAGCAGCCTGATACTCCCGCTCAGTATACATGTAGATTGGTCGAAACGGCTGAGTAGTGTTCCACGCTTTTCTGGTTGTCTGTGTTTCATCCTCGTTGCTCGGCAGCTGAGTAGTATTCGTTCCAGATATCAAGTCTCTAAGCCTCTGTAAATACTCGGTATCAGTGGGAATTAAGGGCTGATCTTGCCTTGTGATTTCAACTTGCGATCGGAAACTCGCTTTCTCTTGCTCTGCAGCAACCCTAGCCTCTTCGATGGCCCTTTCTTTTGCTGCTCGCGCTGCATTGTTAATGCGGAACCAATCTATCACTGACTGCCACCACCATCCAGAAGGCAAAGGGAGAGCGACAGACCCAGGCTCACTCATCGCCAGTCTGGCTGGGGGGTTAGGGGGTGCTTCCACAGCCGGGTCTTCAGCCGCCGGCATGACATCGAGAAGCAGCTCATCAGCAGCAAGTACTTCGTCGATAGGTGTTTCATCGACAAGTGCTACGTTAGCAGGTGTTTCATTGGTAGGTGCCTGAATCTCAAGCGGGAGGTGTATTAGTATGGCAAGAATGGTTATCAGAACGATGATGTAGTCTTGCGTGCAACCCAGAGCTCCGAAGGTGCCTAGGATATAAACCGCCATGAAGCTCACAGCGAAGCTTAGGCATGAACGAACCTTATGTTCGGGGTATGCTCTGGCGGCGATGACCCATCCTGCGGTGCAAAGGACAGTGGCCAAGACAATGGCTATGGCGCGCGGAACCCACCGCCAAGCTCGGCCTTGACACCAGTTGCTATGGCAGCTCAGATCAATGTAAACTACGACAGGTTCAATGTTTGTGTTGTAGAAGAATCTTGAATTCGTCGAAATTTTTCCAAGGGCCAGCGAGACCATCGCCCAAGTGTTTGAAACGGAGTCGGATATCATGCGCGTCAGTAGTCCTACTGACCATCTTTGGAATGTTAAAGCACGTTTAGAAGTCGTCAGCATCGCCTCTCTACTTGCGTGAGCGGTCGTCATTGATAGTTCTGCTGTGCAAGATTGTACAGTGTCCCAGATGCGGCTGAGAAGCATGGGACACAATGGCATCAACACACGTGCCAAAGTCAGGGTGACGATCAACATAGCACCGGTCTTGAGAGTGGGAACAGCCCATTCTGTCATAACTTCAGACACTTTCTCAGCGCCCAGAACGATGATAGTAAGCGACAACCAGAAGCGGTCTCCTCCGAGTGTAGGGTGCCATGGAGCAATATGACGATCGTGCGCGATGCGGTTGTACCTCTCTTGAATCCGAGCTCGAATAATCCGAAGACCACGGGAAACAATTGGTATGTGCATGAGAAGCACAGCGATCGAGAGGGCCCCATATTTCACCACGATAGCACAATGGTTGATGGGCAGAGACACGCCGCCATTGATACCTTTAAAGCACTCGAAGACTTGCTGTGGATGGCTGGCAAGGTATACCGTAGCGGTGACAGCGGCGTAAACTGCTACATATGGCCACATCGCCTCCTTTACCAACCTACAGCTTTCGAAAACTGAGCGAGAGGCAAAGCTCAGTATCTGTCCGTAGTACGAATGAAGCAGGTATATAAAACCTGTCGTGGTGAAGACCAAGATGAAATCCTGGACGTAATCGCTGAACCAAACTACAATCAAGGCGGCAACGGTGCCATTGAAGCCCTTGTACAGACGAAGGCGATTTGCTTCCCATTGAGTTAGTTCTGCATGTTGGGGCAGTCGAGTGATCATCTGGTTAATCGTGATCAACAGGACAATGAACACCAACCCAATGAGAACAGCATATGATACCCGGTCGGCGATAACGTGGTCGGCATGTTGCTTTCTCAAAACTCCGGATAGAGTTTCCTGCCATTGACGAACAAATCCTGTAAGATATACCATGAAGGAGGAGATGGATTCCAAAGAGTGTCTGTACATGGCAAGGAATGAGTACCGCAAGGTCGGCCAACGGAAATCGAGATAAGGGAGACACCCAACGACAACTGTACACAATGTAGCCACTAGAGTGGCATATAGATCCTGGTCCAAGGGATCATTGCCCGCAAGACCTATGCTTGTGGCGATGAGAATCGAAGGCACTAATATCAGCACAATGTCTAACCAGCTGATGAAGTTGTTGTGGTTGGATGAGGCAGTAGGCTCTCGTTCCGCACGATGTGCCACATGGCTCTGTTCAGACGCATGTCGGCTTTTAAAACTGGACATACTTTCGGATTCCGCTAGTAATGGCGAAGCGTGGAGTGGTTCGCTGGACTGTCTCTCTACTGACGTTGTGAAGACTGGGCGATGTTCTCCAAGCCTGGAGAAATCATCCAAAGTCTCAGATAGGAACTGCTCAGATGGTAATCGACTGGAGGTCGTCTTTGACGAAGGTTTGCGATCCTTGTCATCATTTGAGGGAGACTCCGTCTTCTTGTAGGACTTGGACACAGCAGGCAAGTTATTGGCGACCACTTGGAATAATGTCCGAGAAAGCTTTTGCCCAAATTCACCAGAGTCTATAGATGTAACACTGCTGTATGCAACACTAGCAGTTTGTTTTGTCGCTTCGTTGGAGAGCCGTGGGTCGTCCGGTGTGAAATTTCCGTGAGTGGGTATTCCATACGAAGACATGTTCGAAAATACTGTAGAGACCATGTTTGTACAGTTAGAGGCTTCTTTATCTGATGCGGATGAGTCAGCATCAACGGAGTTACTAGCAGATTCGCCTTCCGGCTCCGAGGATGTATCCAACTGTGCTGAGGTCTGAGTACCAGACCATCTAACAGGGCATCGCGATGAGCTTGCCGCTGTTTCGTCTGATGCGGCGATCAACGAAACGGAGGTCTTGATGGATGGTTTCGGTGCGTTATGATCGGAGGATATGTTTGGTGTTTCCGCTGGCACGGCTCCCAAGACCTTGTTGACTACATCCGGCGATGTCTTAACCGTAGCGCTGGATGCGGGTCGGGCTTGAAATGAGCTGCTCTCTGTCGATGTGACAGAACGTACAGCTGGAGAGTCGGAGTCAGTATAGGCGGAATTGAATGGCGCGGAAGAATCCGATACTTCAGGTTCCACACGGTCTCTAGATGTCAGGATTGCTTCGGAAGCCAGCGGAGGAGAAGCAGATCGCGTTATGACAACGACGGCTGGCGGGGGATTTTGAGAGAATGTCGCACTGACTGTGCCAAGTGCTTCGCTAGCGACGGGTATGGATCCAGCGACAGGTCTAGTCGACTGCCTAGGCTTTTGACACCAGAACTTGGCTTGCTCAAACGTTGGGACGTAGCGTGGCACAGCAGCAGCAACTGCACCCACAGCGTAGAGACCGGCTGCTAGTTCGGGTTGTTGACCCCATAGATCTGCAAAAGCTTGCAATGCGAGGCCTGGAAGAGCGGCGGCCATGGTTTGTGACTTCGCGGGATCCAGAATGTATGTGTATCGATTTTGAAATATCGTCAGTATGCACGCCTGTAATACTGTACTGTGAGGAAATGTCTTACTAAGACGAGCTACACTTGACATGCACAAAAGTCGAGAAGATGCCACACATGTACTCAGGGGCACAAAGCAACCTACTTGAGTCGTGGCAGACAAGCAAAGACACAAGTGAAAGGAGGATAACCTGACATCAAAATGAAGTTCACTCTGTTGTTGTCCGCCGAAAGAATACCACCTCATTGTTGTGGTCAACGAGACAAAGAGTGCGCAAACAATTGGTCGACGCAGCATCGTGGCATGAACATCGCTTGCACCTGGGGATGACCTGCGAGTCGCGCAGCTATCGGCATACTCAGTAGTGACAAGGTTCTATGCCAATTTGAAGTTCTAGCCGCAGAGGCGATTGACCCTGAGACACTCGAGCCTTTGACGTTGAGATGCATCGTCTCAGGGCGTAGCTTTGTCTGCGACAGCGATCAATTCCCATGCTCTTCCCCCAACCAGCTCGGCGCTCTGCTCCTGGACATGCCAATCTGCGAAGCAAGTCTTGTAGTCATCCCAGTCAGCCTTGGGACCGGCCCATATGACCCGCTTCACACTGCCTTGACCATGTTCTGCCAGATATTCGCGCACCAGCCCCACGCGTCGCGGGTAAACAAAGAGCCAAGTCGTGGCTTCCGCAGCGAGCGGCTCGAGGAAGCGCGAACCGTGAACGACACGATGGTTTGAGGGAGGCAGATACTGGTTGGAGCTTGGCTCTACTTCGACGCCGACGATGTGGTGCGCGTGAGGTTTGACGATGAGGTAACTTTCGAGCAAGCCAAAGCCGCTTCCGATGGATAGAGCAAGCGATGGGGGTTGAGGAAGGAGCGACGCGAAGTATACGATGAGGGGTTTGCTAAGAGCCAGGCAGCATCCCGAGTAGGCTGTAGGTGTTGCCGTCAGTACTGGCAGTTCGGCGGCGGCTTCTACTATGGGGGACGCCTCATTGTCGAGAGCATCCACATCCGGCTGGAGCGGTGGCATGCGAGCCTCGAGGCCCATGACAAAGTAAGAGGTGGTTCTTCGCAGATACCAAAATCAAATGTGTACCGCGAGAATGCGCGTATCGAATCTCCGACTTTGGCCAATATCAGTGTGATGGTGATGACATAATGCTTGGCGTTTCCTTCTCTGCTAAGCACACATGCGGCTAGCGCCTTGGAGCTATGATCCATCACATGCAATGCACAAGACGCGCCCCGCCATAGCTACAACAACCGAATCCACCGCGTCTTGCGTCATCTTCGTCTACCAAGAGCTTTTGGAAGATACGTGGCTCCACGAGAGCTGCCATGGCCCGCCTTAATCCCTTCTCGTTTACCCCGGGGCCAGTCATCTTCTTTACCACCGTTGTCTACGTGGGCCTCTTTGCTGGCCTGCTCGTTACCCACCTGACGGTACCAGACTACCCATCTAATCCGCCAGCCGGCATCAACCTCACCGAAGCTTGGGGCGACCTACAGCACATTACCCGCCGCTTCCATCCCTACAACAGCCAGGCCAATGACGATGTACGCGATTATCTACTTACACGCATCGAGAGCATCGTCAGGTCCAAGGACCTGGGAGAGGGCCAAGTCGAGCTGTTCAATGACTTGACCTCCAATGCGACCTTTTCGTCCGGTAGTACCTCTGTCTACTTTGAAGGCACCAATCTCATCGTCGCTATCCGCGGATCTGACGATGACGAACCCTTCAACTCTACTGATCGTAGTTCGGAAAATGGCGGTGTGCTTGTGAATGCCCACTACGATTCTGTGAGCAGTGGCTATGGTGCAACTGACGATGGCGTCGGTGTCGTGACGATCTTGCAACTTCTCTCATACTTTACAGAGTCCAAGAACTGGCCCAAGAGAACTGTGGTACTGCTGCTCAACAACGGCGAAGAAGACTATCTAAATGGCGCCAAAGCTTTCATGCGAAACCCGATATCTCAAGTCCCCCACACGTTCGTGAACCTTGAGGGGGTTGGAGCCGGTGGCAGAGCTGCTTTGTTTAGAAGCACCGATACCGAGATTACTAGGTTCTACAAAAAGTCCAAGTATCCCTTCGGGACAGTCGTGAGCGGTGATGGATTCAAGAGGGGCTTGGTCCGGAGCGAGACTGACTACAAAGTCTTCCATGGCGAACTCGGGATGCGAGGTCTGGACTTTGCGTTTTTGGAGCCAAGGGCACGATATCACACGATTGAAGATTCTTCACGCGAAACGTCAATGAACTCGGTCTGGCACATGCTTTCAGCAGCTCTAGCCACGACATCTGGACTGGCTTCCATCACTGGTGACGAGTTCAGCGGCCCAGAAAGCCTCGACAATGGCAGGGTCAACGCTGGAACTGGTAGTGACGGTGTATGGTTTGATCTCTTCGGAAGGGTTTTCGTTGTGTTCAAATTGCATACTCTGTTCGCTTTGTGTGTTACTTTGCTAGTTGTTGCACCTCTTACACTGATTGGCCTGACTTTTGGTCTTTCTAAGGCCGACAAGAACTACCTATTAGCACGTAAGGCCTACGTGCATTCATCAGACGACGACAATCCGGTGCACCTCTACGGCTGGCGCGGCTTCTTTCGCTTTCCTATCATCTTTGTGTCCGCATCCGCTGTTGTTATTGCATTGGCATATCTCATAGTCAGATTCAATGCTTTCATTGTGTATAGCAGCCCATTCGCTGTTTGGAGGTAAGTCATCCATGATGCCGCTTGATCTTGTACTGACAATCTCGACAGTATGATGCTCTCGGCATGGGTCTTTGTCACGTGGTTCCTTGCCCGAGGAGCCGATGCTATGCGACCATCTGCACTTCAGCGTATGTACGCCTTGATCTGGCTTTTCGTCGGCTCCTTTGTCTTTCTCACTATCATCACGGTGTTCGTGAATGACTACCAGATTGCTGCCGGTTACCCCGCGCTCTTCTACTTTGCGGCAGTGTTCGCAGCCATCCTCCTTTCCTACCTTGAGCTCTTCCTTGCCCCAAGCAAATCAGCATATGCTCGCCACTTCGAGCAAGAGAGTGAATCGCGACGCAATTCAGAGTCTGCAAGCAGGCCTCTTACGGGCAGCACCACTGCAGCACGGTCTGATGATCGTCCTGTGGGAGACGATGACGCCACCGAGACCACCTCACTCTTACGAGGCGATCGACGCGGATTTACAAGATATGGCGGCAACAGGCGAGACTCCATCAGCGAGGGAGGCGAAGATCATGCACAAGGACCCCGGCAAATAGATCTCGGCAACGTGTATCCTGGAGAACAAGAGTGGAGCGGCAAATTACCGAGCTGGATCTGGATCGTTCAACTTCTGCTGTTGGCGCCTATCGTGATCATCTTAGTTGGACAAGTTGGTCTGCTTCTTACCTCGGCCCTTTACCAGACGCCATCAGACGGTAATTCGACCTTGTTCATCTACCTCGCATTCGCAGGGCTTACGGTGCTGCTGCTCGCGCCAACCGGTCCTTTTATCCACCGCTTCACGTACCACATCCCCACCTTTCTGTTCCTGGTATGCGTGGCAACTGTCATTTACAACCTTGTGGCGTTCCCGTTCAGCAGGGATCATCGCTTGAAGGTGTATTTCGTTCAGCGAGTTAATTGCGAGACTGGCGACAACATTGTGTCCTTGACCGGCTTAGACGGCTATGTCCAACGCATTGTTGGCGAGTTACCCAGTGCGCAAGGCAAGCAGCTTATTTGCACGACACCCGAGGTCGCGACGCGTAAGGAGCTAAAGCAGTGCGAATGGCAGGGTCTTGACGCTAAAGTCGTGCCGAAGCCAGCGCATGCATCGTCAACCCGCAACAACACATACATCAGCAAATGGCTCGATTATTCGATCCAGAAGGGCAACAGCTCCAACAAAGCGATAATACGCGTTGTTGGCCATAATACGCGCGCATGCCGCATTGTTTTCGACTCGCCCATAACAGCATTGAGCGTCGCCGGCGCTGTTTCAGACTCTCGCTTTAAACCCGTCGGTGCGGACGGGGCCCGGGAAGTGCGACTGTGGCATCGCGAATTTGGTCAGCCCTGGAACGTTAGCGTAGCTTGGAACGCCAAAGAACAATCGAAACTTTCTGGAAGGATTGTGTGCCTCTGGTCGGACGCCAATACAGGCGACATCCCTGCTTTCGATGAGGTGCAGCACTATCTGCCTGTATGGGCAATACCGTCCAAGATTAGCGATGGCTTGGTCGAGGGGTTTAAGCAGTTCGAAATTTAGCTCAGTGAGCTGTAGTTGCGGGGATCCCTGTTGAATCCCATTACTTTTGCTGCGATATCCATCACGGATGTAGTCGAGCACGGCGTCACAGGGCACCTGCAACCCCTCATGTTATCTGCGCATTTATGCGGGCTTGCTTCCCCTTTATCTTACCAATGCCCCGTCTTGTTCGTCTTTTGTCTGTTCATGTCTTTTTTGGAGTCTGGTGGTATGATCTTTACGGCGATTGCATCCGGTACACCCAACGTATAGCATTTGACGTCAACCTTAATGAACTCTATTATCACCGCGACCCAGGCATCTCACCCCGCTTCACTCTTCGACTCGCCTAATTCAAACTCTCGATTCCACGTCTCACCTCCGAACCGTTCCATAGCTTGGCTCGTGCCAGAATGCTGAGAGCGTTTGACGAAGCCCAACATACTGATCAACGTTACCCGTTGTCCACGGGTACAGGACCTATCCCTGCTTTATCACAAAGCTTTCTTTTAGTCACAGGAGAGACTATATCAACATCTTCAGAGCCATCTGCCTTGTCTTCGACATTGTCATCCGCCCTTGGCTCAACAACTGCGTCAACTGTGTGTTCCGCCAGCAACCCATCTGAGCTCGCGTGGCCAACAACCACATCAGGTATGTTTCCAGTCTATTTGTCTTTATTGCGCGTCTCCGACGCCACAACGGCCAACTAACGTCGATCAAGGCGACAGACCAGTCACAAGTGGCGTCTACCAACTTCTCCGCAGCACACGCAACACCGGAGCTTTCAGGGTCACATCGGGAGTAGATTCTGCGATCGACGTTCGCCGCAGGGTGTTGGATTTTGCTTTTGACTCGCCCCTTTCTACGATCATCGTCACAGCCTTACCAGGCACATTTCTCCTCGTTGCACGCCAGCTTCCAGATACCTGGGCGAGCAGACATCAAACGTCTATTGCAAACGCGTTGCACTTCGTCGCACTTGCCAGCTGCACGAATCATCAATTCGAAGCCGGAGACTTGTTAGTACTGGTTTTTGTCATGGTTGCGTTTGACGTGTTTCAGCGGGTTTTAGCGGCGGGCGCTACCAACCCTGACGGCGAATCAGATCTCCAACCCCGCTCGCCCTCGCCTTCCGAAACTCTCCGCAGCCAAACGCGCTCTGATCAGGCCAATGCGAGTATCGTGTCCGATCTTAATACAGCAGCCGTCGAGGATGGAGATTTCGAGCCAATTGAGCCATCTGTGTCATCACAGTCAGGGACATGCGATACAAAAACAACCACCGTGGACCCCAAAGATAGCGAGATCCTGCGACTGCAACGGTCGCTTACTGAATCCAAAACAGCACACAAGGCTCGTGAAGTCCAACTCCGTGTCACCAAGGAGGAGCTTCATAACGCACGCGATGCGCTCAACCAGACCTTCGCGGAATACTCCAGCCTCCGCGAACAGCTGAAGATTATCAAACAAAACTTGGGCCGGGACCATCAAGCTGTAGTATATCGGAAAGACATTGAGCTCTTTGCACTTCGAAAGGGCAACGAGCAGAAAGACAAGAACATCCAAGATCGCGACAACCAGCTGGAAGAGATGGCCCGGCAACACAAGACTATCATGGAAGTCAAAGACGCCCAGTTGAAACTGATGAGGGAGCGGCTGATCTCCATGGAGCGACAGTCAAGCCCACGGGAATCAGAGGATGGAGAGAATGCACTCGAAGTGAGGCTGCTTCGAGTCAGGAAAGGCAGAACCTCGCCGGAAGTTGAAGAAGACAAGGACGTGGTCATTGCAAAGCTGCAACAACAACTGGCCTTCAATAACAAGAGCAACGAAGAAGTCGTCAACCAGCAAGCTGAACTACAAAGAGCATGGGAGATGGCCAAGAAGATTCAGAAAGCCTTGAAGGAGGAGCGGGAAAGGCATACACAGACGCGAGAGCAGCTAGAAGAGGCCACGGTCAAACTTGCGGAAGCGGAGCCACAGCCCAGGAGTCGGGCCGGCTCTGTTGTAGGACGACTACCGACGATTGATGAGGACGAACACGACAAGGACGAGCTCGAAGCCATGTTCAATACTACTCAGCAGGATAACCTCCGACTATATGCTGAAGTGGCCGCTCTAGAAAAGCGACTGAGCGACGCCAATGCACGTTTGTTTGCAGCAATGCAGGAAGTTGAGTCCTTCAGGGTGCAGCTAAATCAAGAGAAAGAGGTCACTGAAGACATGGAAACTGCGCGTCCCAGCGTAGTACACCGTGTACACTTCCAGCGCATGGAGGGTCAAGTGTCTGAGCTACGGGAAGCGCTCGCTAGCAAGGACGAAGAGATGGAGTTACTCAGAAACACCATTGCGGAGAAGGACCATTACGTCAAGGACATACAGGGCGAGCTCGATGCAGCTGCCAGCTTTCACACACAAGATCAAGACGAGATCGAACGCTTGAAGCAATCGATCGACGAGCTGCAAGCGACAAAGTACCAGCTCATGCTCGATCACGAACGCCTTGGATCGCAACGTACCCGGCAGCGCGTCATCTCCACGGAGCGTACTGATCGTTCATCCGCTCGCTCAAGTGGTGCGACACTCATCCAAGAACTGAGTCCACCGCTGACGAAGCATGCAGAGGAGGCGCCACCCGTGGAGACTCTACCAACCATGCCGGTAGTACCAGAACGCGAAGGAAGTATCCAAGAAACACCCCAACGACACCTCCGCAGCAAGAGTTCGCCAAAGGAATCATCGAATCGCTGGAGCTTGATGTCGCACGACGTCCCACCTGCTGAGCTGAGAGAGCTGAAGAGCAATCGCAGGAGGAGTCTAGGTCTTAAGGTTATGATGCAGAAGATGGTCAGGAAGAACCAGGAGGCTGATTCTACATCCACTGAGGCTGTGAAGACACGGGCTGAAGAGCCTCTCAAGAGAGAAGAGTCTAAATTGAGGCGCGTGCTTGCACCCAAGGATAAGAACCTGTCTATTCGTCCTTCTACCGCTGCATCAGCCATTGCGTCCAAGCCTGTCGGTGCTCAACCTTTTGCTACGCCCAAGACCTCGCCGCTACCTCGGGCTGTGCGTCCGCCGAACCCGAGACGTAATTCTCCAGCTACCCCACGGTATTACGCTACCCAGAGCGCGACGAACCAGGCAACAACCCCAGCTGAGACGGAGAACGTGGAGAAGAAGGAGAGACCTCGCAGTGCGATGGGTGTTGAGCCGGCAAGACCGAAGAGCCGGTTGAGCTGGGGCTCTACGTAAGTCCATTCCTTTAGCGAACGGTGATTTTGTAACAAGAACATGCTAACAAAGACCAGGAACAAACTCAAACGACGATCATTGTACTGATGACAACAAACATGGTGTGGCATTTATATTCAGGCGTTCAAAATGGGATTTCGCGATATCCAGTGCGCATGAGTTGATGCTTTCCGGATCGATGACTCGAAGAAAAATTTCATTGGGTTTATAGGGTTGATACTTCAGGATGGGCGTAATATTAGATACGGGTATGCAAATATGTGTAATGTATTGTTAGCTTTGCGATATCATATTGAAGATAATGAAATCATAAATATTATATGTTTCAGCAGAGATACAAACTTGATAGCTGGTGCGGACAGGCATTTTTGTCTGTACCCTTTTTTGGGTAGCTTCAAGATATCCAGTAACAGCATTCTTTAGCCATGTGATCACTTCATTCGCTACATCTCTACCCCGCTATGCACGTGGGTGTCCACAAATCTGGACTTCCTTCCCCCTTACGTTGCGGATCAGCAGGAACATCGACGCGACACTAAAGCTTCTTCACCCCGGTGGCGTAGCCGCTACATCTCAGTGGCGTTTTTCTTCTAGGTATATCTAGTTTGAATATCCACCGAAAAAACCACAGCTGTCGCTCGCCACACATTACGACTATCGACAATAAGCGCGGGACACTGAGAGGCACTTCCAGCTGGACGCCGCAACACTCTTCGTATACTCGTTCTCCAATAGCTTTTGTCAATTACGAACATGCAGCGCGACGACCGTGTTCCCCTTAAGGAGATATATGACACTCCGGAAGCTCTTCACGAAAGAGTAGAGCGAATCATCGACCTAGCACTTTATGAAGAATCATACGACTCGCCGCTTAGACTTCGATTTGTTACGCCCGTGTCTCGCGAGCAATGGCTTGCAAACGACAATTATAATGAATACCGGCTTACCACTCCGGACGAGCACCAGCATGATATGGACTACGTCACCGTGTCTTACTGCTGGAAGCATACACCGTCTCTACAGGGTCTGCCTCCAATATCACAATATCGTATATCGAAATCTTCGGAAGATACGCCGTGCGAACCGAGCCCTATTAGCTGCCCAAGACTTGTCTTCCATCGTGCTATGTTGTTCGCGCGATCTCGTGAATGCCAGTTCGTCTGGATTGATCAGGAGTGTATCGATCAGGCTAGTTCTGTCGATATCCAGTTACATCTGAAGGTTATGCATCATATTTACGAAGAGAGCAAGTGGACTGTCGCAGTCCTGTCAGTCGCGATAACGGATCATTCCCTGCTCGAATGTTTCGTAACGTACCTCTATTTCGAAGAGGCAGAGAGAGAGGCGGAAAGGAATCTTGCTAAACTGTTAAGCAAAACAGGTGACCATACCAGTGATTATGCCCAGCGTGTTCAAGGAGCCACCACGTTACTACACTATATCACACAAATTCCAGGGTTACGAGTACTACCGATTCACACCTGGCATACACAGAAACCTCACTACCTCTTGGGACCGTGCCACGTCTCAGCACGGCTGTTACGCTATATTCAGAGCAATTCAAGACTACGAAAATCTGGTTGTCGCAGATCGCATTGCTATTTTCGGTGTCGTATGCGGATTTCGATATCGGCTTGTATCGAACATACTTCACGGCGCCACATTCAGATTCAGCGCATGTGTTATCGCTTTACTGCTTGCAAATATGTACGTTGACCGTAGTAGACGCTTCGAAGTATTGAAGTGGACATGGCAGAATCTTGGAAGGTATCCAACAGCTACGCCCGATCTTGGGACTTGGATATTCGTCTTGCTCGATAGCAGCTACCGCTTTTCCAATGACCATGCCCCGAAAGTCCGTGCCAGAGCTTCTACTAAGCATCCTGGAAGAAGGAATACGATGTAATCTCAATAAGAGCTGATGAACAAGACACGAAGCCATCTACGCAGTCTCGGTTGGTTACATAAGAAATCCGCACTGCTTCATCCATTTCTCACACATGGTCGGCCACTCGCTCACCGGCATCCCTGGTGTGTCCAATGCAAATCCATGCGGCGCGTCTGAGAAGACATGAAGTTCAACAGCCGCACCACCTTTCGTCATAGCTTCAGCAAGCCGGTACGCATTGGTCACAGGCACAACGGGATCGTTTCCAGCATATACAACGAATGTCGGTGGTGCGGGATGTCTTAAAAGCTCATCTGGCTGCATCTCATCATACAGCGTCTGCTTCTCCGGTGGCTCAAGAGCTGGTTTGTTCGGAATGATCTGACGACCCTTCGCATTCGTGGAGATTGGCGCATAACCAATAATGGCAAATTCGACTTTGGGTAGATCGTTCTTCGCATCGGGATTGTTCCAACTTCTAGGGTATTCCGAAAGTAAAGACGCAGCGAGATGGCCTCCAGAAGAAAGACCGCATACAGCCAGACCTCCTCGCGCAAGGTTCTTCTCTTCGATCAGACTCAACGCCCGCCTTGCATCATCTACCGGCGCCTGACTCTTCGTCTCCTTGTTGGGGAAGCGGTGGATCAGCACGAAAGCGTGAAATCCTAAGCCTGCTAACCACCTCGCCACCTGAACGCCTTCTCTTCCGACCATGAGCTCCACATATCCTCCTCCACCCAGAATCAGGATAGCTCTATCGTTCGAAGAGACATTAGTGGGCTTGAAGCCGAAAAGCCAGGGTCGCGCAACGCTCTTCGCGACGGCTTTGTCAATGCCACCAGAGGTATCGAGTTCAAAGGCGTCTTCAATCGGTTCATTGTCCCAAAGTGGCCATGCGTAATCTGCGTTAAGAGGATTGGAAGGAATCATTGTGTGTAAGGATGTATACTGTGACTTGAGCAGCATTCGTGTTTACCTACACATGTGTTCTTAACCTCGGGGCGCGGTGTATTTCTCGCTGTATCATTATACCGAATGACCGAAATCCAGAAGAGCGGAGCGGCCATCACTCTGCGCCTGAACAACCACCACTTCAAGTAAACAAACTCGACCTTAATTTCAACACTCGTCAAGTCCACGATCATCTTTGACCACATGCATTATCATGCGGAAGACTTTCTTGGATGCAACATTCGCTCGGCCATACCTGTCCATCAAAGTCTCTTTTCAAAAACTTCTGCAGCCTTAACAAGCATAATCTTCAGCTTCTTCTTGACACACAGCCCACATATGCCACGTTATAGGCGTGGGACTATCTGCGCCGTATGCGAAACATCCAACGTTGTCAGTTCCGGCTTCAACAGACTGGAAACTGCACAGCGCTCATCCAATCAGGGAAGCCCCTGAAGCAGTACGTGTAATAAAGAAGTCGGAACGACACATTAGCGGGTCAGCCCGTAGCATACGACCTTAACGTGATCTAGTTGCGATGTGAAGTGTCAGAGGTTGGCGAGGCTGGTGGATGCATCGCACCTGAAGATCGCGACAGCCGATGACGATAACGCGATGACGTCGTCTGAAACCGTAGCGACCCATAGCAGATGTCTGACATGTGAATATCCGGCAGGCCCAGTGTGGCTACACCGACTATCTCCCGGTGCACTTCTGTTGACAGCAAAACTTCATCTTCCATCTGTCCGGGCCACTAATCGCTGTATCGCGAGAGTCAAAGATTTCGCAAGCGTGCCTCAGCCAGCACCAGACCGGTCAACAAGAAGCCCTTTCGAAGCAAAATTACATTCTAGCCGATGTCTAAATGCACTATGGCGAGCCTCAAGCTTGCGGCCCTGAAAATCTCAGCCGCGCTAGCGGCTAATAGTGGGTCACACGCGTTATCATCACTCCACTTAGCGCGTGAGGCGAGCGTGGCGCATCATCTTGATGTCGTTCGACGCAAATTCTCGAAACGTGCCCGGGACAAGTCGGGATGGTGCTTGTTGCACACGATTTTTGCTCGCCAATTTTTCTTTGGTGACTGTTTTCAGGGTCATGTTGGGAAGGGATGGCGAAGGCGGAGCTGTATAAGAGGAATGTGTGGCTCTGGGGGATCTGATCCATCATCCACATCTGCATCCATCTCATACCACATCCAACACCAACAGTACAACACACGTCATTCTTCCACATTCCCAGCTTCAATCCATCAATAACATCAAAATGCCTTCTTTCAAGGGTATGTCTCCCCTCTAAACTCAATCTACCGATCCGTATTAACAACATCCCCAGACTCCGTCTCTTCCACCCCAGCTGGTGCCTCAGGCGCCCCTACCCCAGCCTCTTCCGCGGCACCCACATCAACCCGCGAGACTCTCCACGCCGCATCAGCCGCACTTGGCTTGACCTCGCAAGGCTTGGACCTCTGCCCTCACTGCTTCCGTGAGATGTCTCACTGCAACGAGCGCTTCGAATTCGCTTAAGCGCACTGCAACAACGATACTGTTGCCGAAGATGGGAATACTTTCTCGCACCGGCCTTTATCAGAACCCTCGTCTAGGTCGTCGGCAGCTGCTAGCGTGCCAGGACAGGGGCTACGACTTTCACATTTTTCGGCATGGAACTGGGTGTATATATGAACGGCATAGGCGGCGTTTTGTTTGGAAATGGAGGACACAACTAGCATCGGCATACCCCACTTTGAGCGATGTATACCAACATGCAAGATGCATTATATCGCATCTCAATCGAATCTTTACTATCGCGATTTCACATTTCGAGTGACCTCATGAAAATCTCCCAACCATGACTACTATGCCCTCGCTATCATTAGGAACCATCTCTTCGGAGACCAGACTATACACGCGAACAGATAGTCTGAATACACAGCGCTCTGATGCCTCTGATCTCCCCCGATCTTATCACTCCACCACGGCAGATAAAAGGCTACCTAGGTACGTTTCTCGGTCAAGGTTGTCAAAGGAGGGAGGATGGTAGAGAAGCATCGATGAGAAGAGCAACCAGGAAGGTATCAAATAGTACCATCAATCTGCTTTGATGATAGAGACGTCAAAGAGTACCGTTCGCGCGCGACGTTAGGTAGGTTTCTTGGATATAAGGACGTATCCAGGATGGAATGGAAATATTCCGTGGGCTGACGTCATTGCTGATTCCTATACCTGTCCAATGTTAATCTACAGCGACATCAAACTTTGAGCTCTTAAAACGCGCTGCTTTTCGTTGCGATAGGCATGCAACATTCCCCACTTCATAATGTCGGTGTGGAGAGGGATTTCTGGAGATGCGCGTGGCGGCGATACCGCCAATACCCGGATGCAGCTTCCGCAGTGCGTTAGTCAATTCGCCTTGCGCATCACGATAAGACTTTTCTCAACACCAAGCTTTTCCTTCACAGTTCCAAGCAGATGTCAAGATGGCTGTTACGCAAGTTATGAGGCCTACCGCTGCCATTGAAGAGACGACACCCCTTCTGCCACACGACGAGCCAAAAGAAAGAGAAGGAAAGCAGAGCGTCCCGGTGCTATTCCGCGCTTTACTATGCGCATTCCTCGTATCGTTAACATTCGGCATCACCCAAGTTCCCTTGTTGTACGCTTTTCGAATCTTGACTTGCGATGCGTATTACGAACACCATGAGCCGGATCCCAACGCTACCGATATATGTGCCAGACGGGAAATCGAGGCTGGAGCGGCTCGAGCTTTTGCCCTTCTTGCATCATCAACAACAATATTTGGCCTCGTCAATTTACTTGTAGCTGGATGGGCCATCAAACGTCTGGGTGTCAAGTCGGCTCTAATCATACAGATCTTTTGGCCTGCTGTTCGTCTGCTTGTTCAGAACATCGGTATTATGCACGGCGGCAAAGTGGGTATCATGATCGTACAATGCTCGCAGATTATCACAGTAGTTGGTGGCCCCAATGGCTACGTTCTTTGTCTCAACTCTTTGGTGGCGGATGTGGTTGAGCATGAAGGGAGGACAGGTGCGTTGGGCCGACTCCAGGGCTGCATGTACTTCGGGAGTGCCATTGGTTTCCTGATCGGAGGTGTTGTTGGCGATTACTTCGGCATACTTGCACCCTTCCGTATGACTTTGGCATTGTTCCTGCTATGCTGCGTGTACGTTGCAGTCTCGCTCCCGGCCATGGCACCACCGGAAGAAGACGAAGATGCGAAACCTCGCAAGAGCACTGGCATCGCGCGATTCTTCGGCCCTCTTCGTATATTTGCACCACAAAGATGGACACTACCCGATGGTCGCCCGCGCATGCAATTTGGGGCCTTAACTCTTGGTATCGGCGTTTTCCTAGGTATTCTCGCGACTGGTTATATTCCCGTACTCCTCCAGATGTACGCGACCGCTGAGTTCAACTTTGGGACCAAGGAGAATGGAGCATTGATTTTCCTGTATTCATCGTTGAGAGGTGGCTTCCTCTCGCTGATATTCCCTCGTATCATCACTGCTGGGCGAAAGTGGCTTGATGACGGCGAGAAGAGGAAGATGGAGGAAGAAGAAAGAGAGCCACCCGTGCAGGTTCATATCATACCACCAACACCCGCAGTAACGGAAACTGTCGATCCTCTGGAAAATGAAGAGCCGCCAAACCCGGAGCCGAGGAACGAGCAGGAGACGTTTGCATTTGATCTGTTCTATGCGCGCTTCAGTCTCTTGCTCGATGGCATACTTACTGGGCTGGCCGTATTCGTATCAAAAGGTTGGCAAATGTACCTTGTTGCTGTGCTGCTACCTTTTGCTGCAGGTACGGGTGCTGCGTCCAAAGGATCGATCCTCCAGATGCTACCGAATAGCGAGCGCGTCGATGCGCTGAGCGGCATCACGCTCGTTGAAAATATTGCGCGTTTGTCAACTACAGCAGTGTTCGGACTGGCTTTCGCTTCACTCGCTGAGATTGGTCAAAGTCGTCTAACTTTCGTGTGTAATGCAGCTGTCGCATTGCTTGGCTTCGTCGTGTTGCTGCTCTCTAGGTTCCCGCCAGAAGGTAGCCGCCGAATTGAGGGCTGATAGAAAAGTTCAGGAAAAGTGCGCGCGTATACTACTGTTGATGATTACAAACAAGTACGCTATCAGAGATTACGGGGATGGGTCCATTTACGATGTTGATAGCCGAAATGATTACAAGCGATGGATAAGGCTGGCACGCGGTCTGTCAGTTGTTGTTCCGCTTAGGCCTACCAGGTACGTAGGAACAACTGCGCGCTAGCTCCAAAACTCCATTGTCCTTATTCTTACCTGCGCCTCAAAAATAAGCTTGTCAAGTTTCTGGTTAGACTGCATCCTTCCATCATCCAACCGGTCGAGAACACCTTGGCAGCTGCCTACTCTGGCTTTGGCCTTAATTGTAGAAATATGATAGAATGAAGGCCTTGCGACTTCACGCGTCCTACGTGGTGCTGAAGCATTTCAAGCAACACTTCAGACGATAAAGTCGCCTCGCGTGAGTGATGATGAACAGGTTTCTGGTAGCGTCGCTATTAGCGAGCGCGGTTAATGCGCAGTACAACCTCACCTATCTACATTTGATGTGGGAGATGGAGCCAACCCTTACATTGATGGGTTCCGACGAAACAGCCACCACGTACGAAAAGATCTGCCCCGAAACTGCGACTACGACTCCAGCACCTTCGTCGACCGATGTGGCATGGTACTATGCCTGTATGTTCAGTGTACCTACTGCTCGCTAAACAAGTTGCTTATCTCTATTTGACAGCTCCAGACGAGCGGTCTTCGTTATCTGCGTCATACTCAAGCGCCCTTGCCGCGTTCTGGTCTTTCTATGAGACTGCTCTACCTGTTGAGACTCCGACTATAGAACCAAAAGGTTGTACTCCATTCACTATGTTACAAGGTCCCGAGACATGGGAGTTCCACCTGACCGCTTCTGGTGTGCAGACTAGAAACGGTGCTTGTACATGGACTGGTGTGTTCAGCGAGGTTCCAATCACCTGCGATGCTGACGCTATCGGCGAGGGTTACACTCTTCCTAGTGGTAATCCGACTATCTTTTCGCAATCGGAATTGAGGGCATGGACGTCGCTGAGATATGCTGTTGCTACGATTGTGGAGGCTACACCGGCACTCACACCCACACCCACACCCACACCCACACCAGCAAACACGGAAGACATGAGTGGGGCTGGAGAATCGGCGAAAGAGACTTCAGTGAGTGAGGGAAGGGCGTCAGGTGCATCGATGCCTACTGGCGCGATGCTGATGGTCGGCGGAGCGGCAGCTATTGGTGGAGCGGCTTGGGGATTTTGAGCATCGAAGTGAAGGTGTGCTATAGATACTAATTTTTTTACTTCGAGCAGATCTGCATCGGAGTAGTTATTCAATTACATAGCGACGAAAGCTAGTACGCAGGCTGTTGAATATTGTTGAAGCCGCGACTTGTGTGATTAGGTCTCGAAATTCAAAATTGAGCGAAGAAACAAGCTATCTGAAACGAGATGTTAATAACATATGCGATAGACTTCTCTGATGATCATGGAAGAGGAAGGGCGACATGGGAGAATGAAAGTGCGATGGGCAAATCCGGCGCAATGGAAATATCCTGTGATCATGTACACAGACATTTGTTGCTAGGCTAAATGTGTAGGCGGTGTCGCAATGGGCCACTCCACTGATAACGCACATCTAATACCTTCAGATGCCACTCTGACGATACTCACTTCTTGTCTGCTGCCTTGTCAGTTTCGTAAGCCGGCGGCAAACCAGCTTCGTATTCCTGCCCCGGCGCAACACCACCGACAACGTTTGTATCGTCTTTCCCAAGAACGGTCATCGGAGCGTACTGCCTATTTCCCTCATCGCGTCGCTCTGGAGGTACGAAGACATTCAAGCTCTTCGGTATGATGAAGCCAACGAGAACAACCAAAACGATGAGATGGGCAACCATGAAAGCGAAGATTTGTAGTGGGTCGCCACGTGTAGCGTAGAAAGTGGGATATGCGAAGCAAAAGACGATAGACAAGACGGGGGCGGCAAAGTATCGCAGGATAGGAGCCCAGAAGACAGGTAGTCGCCATTGCTTGCCGACGCATACAACGTAGTTGAGGTCGCGCGCAAGTTGGTTGCCCTATGTGATATTAGCAGATATATACGTTCGAGGTGAAGCAGTTTACTTACAGAGTAAAGGGCGAACCACCAGATACGGTTCAAAAGCTTGTTACGGCCCCAGAAGCGTGGCGCTGGAACAGTAGGGTCTTTTGCGAGAGCGACAGCAATGACTGTGCCTGCAATGTAAACTCCGAAACCAACACCAGCACCAATTTTGTCAGAGACGCTATGTGCAATGGCATTACCAATGATCTGAGCGCCAATGTACGAGCACTGGTAAAGCCAAAATGACGGTGCGCCTACTTGACCAATTACATCGACAAAGCGATAGAAGGAAGTAGCACAGACGCATTCAGCCCATACAACGAAGATCAGAGAGATGTTACTGATCTGTGCGTCGACAGCATTGGTGGCTTCGTAACCAAACCCGGTAGAGTAGAACAACGAGGTCAATGCCGAGATGACAGTGATGATAGTGGCGATGGTCGAGTGCTTGTATTTTCTTCCCCAGTGAGTGTCGCAGATCGTTGTGATCATGGCATCGAGGAGCGCGTAAGATGAACTGATACCGAGCAGGAAGAGAGTCAAGAAGAACAAGACTGCCCAAAATGGGGCGCCGGGCATTTCCTGGATGGCGCTGGGAAGGGTGTAGAAACCAAGGGTGTAGGTTCCGACTGGGTCGCCAACACCAGGCTGTAAACCAAGGTATCCAACAACACCGAAAACTGCAAAGGCAGCGAAGGACTCGAACAAGGCATTTGCACTGCAAATCATCATGGCATCCTGGACCGCATCGGAGAACTTGGAATTGTAGGAGGCGTAGGCAGTATAGTAGCCAAAACCGACGCCTGTAGAGTAGAAGACTTGACTAGTCGCAGCTTGCCAAATCTTGCCAGCAGCGAGCTGATCACCATTGAACTCGCCAAAGTATAGTTTGATTCCTCGGCCAGCGTTGGGTAGCGAAGCACCACGACCGACTAGGATGACGGTCATGAGGATGGGTAAGACGATGGTAATGTAGACAACGCGAGCTGTGATGGCGATGCCTTTGTACAAGCAGATCCAAACAATGAACCAAGAAAACAGAACCCAGCCAACGAGCTCCCCATCGAGGTTAACACCGGGATAAGAAGCATATTGGAGGACCTTACTACCGTCATCGCTGTAGACCGCGGGGATGGCAGGAACCTGGTTCACCACGTGCGCGAAGTAATCCTGTGGATTCTCTCCAAGGAAAGTCGTCTGCCGACCGGAATGAGCTGCGAAAGTACACCATCACCCAGGAAAGGATGGGGATGTAATAGATAGCCACAGCGTAGCCAACACAGACCATGCCGAGACCAACACCAGTGAAGCGCCGATCAAGGCCGTTGTAAGCTATGACACAGCCACTACGGTAGGCCTGTCCGATGGCCACTTCCAAGATAAGCACTGGAATTGCAAGGAGGCAGACGGCCATCAAGTATGGAATGAACCATTGTATGCCATTGTTGTTGAAGACCTGCGAGGGGAAACGCAGCAGGTTTCCGAATCCCATGGCTCCGCCCATGGACGCCAGTACGTATGGTGTTCGAGAAGGCCACTCTGCGCGACCATCAGGAGCGACGCGAGGTGGGGGGAACATTGCCCGAACAGCTTTGCGGACGGCGTTCATCGTGGGCAACTATGTTGAAGCACTCAATGAGATGAGGTAGTGAAGTAGATCGATATAGAAGTCTGCATAGAGAGGACAGGAAGACAAAGCTAGAATTGGGAGCAGTGGAAGCACAACAATCTGGGTAGCACTCAGCCTTCTAATGATGTCGTCGCATCCCCCTGTACTCTTGATCTTAGATCATACTCGCGGCGCGCGTCACTGCGCAGCCACCGATAGCAACGACTCGACGCCTTCTTGATAGGCATGTCGCGTGCCAGGACAACATTCCCGGCATGATACCCGTCTGCAGCTCCTAATACCAACATCCGGGCATCTGTTCAGGGACTTGGTAGGTGGAGATGTCCCATGGGGGCGGAGGCGCGCCTTGGCTGCCAAGATAAGATCGGATGAAACGGCACCTCCACGTCCTGATACAGAGTCTTTTTCAGCTTGGGTGGATCCTCACTGGGCATGTCGAGGTGGGTACAAGATAGAGGAATGTAAACACGCAGACGAGTTCATCGCCGGTGCGTCAATCCGGCCCAAAGCCGTGGCTCAGGTTTTGACGAGTTCGTCGCGCTTCTGTGATTCCGAACGGCCAAGAGAAATCCATCTCGGAACCCTGCCGAACAGAAGCAAGGGAACACAAGCGCTGAGCACCATGTGCCGCTCGTTCCTGTTCTCCAAGACTCGGACGTGCCGTGATAAGAGGCCTTCCAAATAACAAAAGCATGACCGATGAAAGCCCGGCAAAAGATCCGAGGGATTTCGTAGTCATGACTTTGAGTAACGGGATCGTTTCATAATTTCAGGAGTGGGATAGATCATGTCCTTTGCGATAACGCGGAAGAGATCCCTCGAGGTATACATATATCACTGTCGCGCGCCCTATTGTACTTCTGATCCCCACTGTGAGGCATGCAGCTACGTCATGATGTGCGCTACGCTATTTCAAGAATTAGCGTACATGTCCACCCCAACCATGGGAAATTCGCGACGTGTACATCCAATGCCAGGAATCATCTACTGACACTATGGTTCCATTTCCCATTCACTAGAAAAAAGGTAGGCCGCCAGTGTTTTGACGCGAACTGACATCAGGACAGCTACTGCGAAGTTCGCCTTCGCACCCACACCAGCGTCAATAAGGCTCAACATGACAAGCATGAGAAGAACTGAGACGCATTTGTTCCTTCCGTAATTCTCCGAAAGCTTGGCGATGAGCTCTTTCTCGATGGACTTGTTTACGCTGCCGTTGACATAGCTGTCGTAATGTCGGTGACCTTTACGCCTCTTACTACAGTCACCTGTGAACCTGGCAAACATGATGTACGCTGAGATTTTGAATAACGAGGCTAATCAAACACTACGCGCTTTATTATGAAATATGCAGTATGCATTTCAAAATCTGTCATAGTCAGGTTCAGACATCCCTGCACTCGTATATGTCGGGTTTCCAACGAACTATCGGGCTTTTGCGACGTGCTTACACCGCGAACCACCGAAACAAGAGTTAGCGCCACCGCTTTTGATATCAACAAAAGCATATCAACGCCTAAAGTAGGTATCTCGGTGCTTTCTTGGGGATGACCCATCATCAGAAGGCTCAACAAGCGGGTTAATCCAAGACGAGTTTGCGCAAGCTAATTGATCCAGCCCTTCGGTCCACCCCATTGTCCCTTCACGTGGTATCTATCGTAGACCCAGGGGAAGAAGTCTTTCTTCAAGTGATAGAATGCACGTCGAGGAGCCCCTTGGTCAATCCCAAACCAACTCTTGAACGTCTCCTTCGGCACCCCGCCGTACTTGAACTCAGCAAGAAGCACCTTCTTTTCGCCTGTTAAAAGCGGACATGATGTATAGCCGTCATACGCAGACTGCGGTTCTTTGCCTTCCAGACCGAGCAAGAGGTTCTGCGTAAGGATGGGCGCCTGAGACGTGATTGCAGCTACAGTCTTCGACGTCGGCAGACTCGCCGCATCACCGAGGGACCATATATTCTTGAATGTCTTGTGCTGAAGAGAGTGCTGGTCAACATCCACGAAGCCTGCTTCATTACCGAGTCCACTTTCTTCGACGAACGAGTACGGTACATTCCTAGGCGCAACATGAAGAAAGTCGAAATGCTGCTTCACCGGCTGCTGGCCCTTTGGTCGATCAAACGTCGCTACATTTCCATCGATAGCAATAAGATTATGCTCAAAGAGTCCTGTGACGCCTCTTTCTTCTCGCAATTCATTGAGCTTAGCGCTGTACTTCGGTACGCCGAACATAGTGGGAAGTCCAGTAGCGAAGATGGTCTTGATCGCAGACTTCTTCGAGTCATTATTGTACAGGCCCGCTCGTCTCCAGTGATCCAAAGCGAGCCACATGATCTTCTGTGGCGCACCCGCACATTTCACTAAACCGGAAGGCTGAGTGAAGATGGCTGAGCCCCTCTCTAAGCGCTGTATATTCCGGAAGACCTTGTCGCAGTGTTCGTAGCTGTATATGGATGCCACGAGACTGTCTGGGTTGTCCATGGCCTCGGTAAGACCTTTTATGCTACCGTAATCGACCCTGATGCCTGGTGCGATGACGAGTTGATCATAATGAATCCTGTCACCAGTTCCTAGGGACAGACAGTTGCCTTCCGGGTGAATGGCCGCGACATGGTGATCATACAACCGGATTCGGGGCTCCACGAGTTCCTTCATTGGCCTTTTAAAGCTTTGTTTGTCGTTCAAACCGCCTCCCACCAATGTCCAGCCCGGTTGGTAATGATGCCATGTTCCTGGATCGATGACCGCGATATCATCCTGATTGAAATGCCCTTTCCGTAGAAGTTGATGGCTGACTGCGACACCAGCTGAGCCGTTTCCGATGACAACAACTCTGTGGTTTCTCGATGTGGTGGTGGCTGGCGTGACAGTAGCCAAGCTTCGAACGATTGACGGCTGCCTCGCGGCTAGAGCAGTCCGGACGGGAGACAGTGCGACAAGCTTGAACACCGAATGCATTCCCAAAGCAGGAACTGCTACTTTCATGAGGCTGAGGAATCTTGAAGAGGTATTGGAACGTGATAGGCTGCCAAGTGACAGCGAGGGTAATGTGTAATGTCTCGAAGCCTCAGATCCTATGTCCGATCTCTTTTATCGCTAACAATGGAACCATGAAACGAGGCGATTATGTGAGAGACGATGTACAGTAACAGCTAAGTAAAAGATTATCCTTGAGACATTTGTAACATCGGCGACTTGTGAGTGTCCTCGGCGTTCCGTTTTGTGGGGTAGACGCCGAACCCTGTCTTAAGAGGTGGCGCCATAACTTGCTCTCCGAACTGAACGGTGTTCTTAAGGCGACGCAAATTGAGGGGAATGTCGAGCCAGGCTCGGCTTGTGGACAGCGCCATTCGTATAGTTTCAAGAGATGAAGAGCTTACGATTGTTTACGAGGACACGAGCAGTCCGGGAACTGCCAAATCCGCCCTACTACGTCTCCGAGTGCCAGACTGGAAGACAGCAACATCGCTTGCTACACCAACGAGCTCATACGAGACACGAAATGCGACTAAGGAAACCAGCTAGCTCGACAACGTTGTGCACCTACACCAGCCAAGCAAGTGCTGCCGTCGCCGATCCAACCATTACAACCGTACAAGCACGAATGAGAGCAGTAAATCGAGCACAGTACACTACCCAAACTACCGTTTTCAAGGAACCCGTAGTACACAGCTCGTTCGAAGATAAGACAGGCACATGGCAGTACGTGGTGGCTGATCCGGCTACTAACAGAGCCGTTGTCATCGATCCAGTACTCGACTACGATGCGAACACCCAGACGATCAGTACCCAAACAGCCGACGATTTATTGGCAACAATATCAGAGAATGGGTACCACATCGAGAAGATATTGGAAACTCATGCACATGCCGATCATTTGACGGCAGCTTCCTACCTCCAACAACGTCTATCCTCGCAGCAAGGCTTCAGACCACCAATCTGCATTGGTAAGAGAATCCGAGAGGTTCAGGCGCGATTTGCCGCTAGGTATGGGATTGCGGCTATGGAGTACGAGAACGCGTTCGATCATCTGTTCGAAGACGATGAAGTGTTCGAGATTGGGAAGCTGGAAGTAAAGGTCATGCACCTTCCTGGACATACTCCGGATCATATTGGATATCGAATTGGTGGTAGGTGTGCTTGGAAGATTGTCGTGATAGGCAGCACTGATGCTATGACAGGCAATGTATTTTGCGGTGATTCCATATTCCATGCTGATATCGGCACGGCAAGATGCGACTTTCCAGGTGGTAGTGCGAAAAGTCTGTATGCTTCAGCGCGGAAGCTGCTCGAACTACCAGACGATGTCAAGGTTTGGACCGGCCATGACTATCCAGCTTGCCCAGAGCGATGTGAGGCTGTGCCTTGGATGACCGTGAGGGACCACAAAGAGAAGAACAAACATCTTGCCAATGACGCAGAGGAAGATGATTTCTTGACTTTGCGGAAGGAAAGGGATGCAAGCCTGGCGGCGCCGAAGCTATTGCACCCTTCCCTGCAGATCAATATTCGTGCTGGAAGACTTCCGCAGCCAACATCGGGAGACCAGCGTTTGATGCATCTCCCAATCAGGATCAGTGGCACGACGTGGTAGACTGAAGAACGTCTCTCGTAAGAACCTCGGAGATGGTCAACTCGGCCGGAGATGGGCGGTACCCTCGGTAGAAAAGGATGCAAGTCCGTCTTTAGGCAGAATTTGCGCATATGAAGCAATGGGATTGTCTTCATGGCAGTATGACCTTGTTTGTATAGTTACGCAGAAGCGTGAAGACCCTTTCATATACCCAGTGTAGAGTTGTCGAGACCTACAAGCCCATACAGATCTTGTAAATCGAAATCGGGGAAAGTAACGTTTTCCATCGATGCGGCGGGAGGTGTTACTGTGCTGCTAGGGGATGCACTACAAGAGGTACGGAACACTGCCGAAGCAACTCTTTTTAGCGTACGTAGCACAATCCCAGCAGCCGACCATTGTCGACTCATGGACTTGAGTACGCCTAAAAGTAGTTTGACTCTATCAGAGTGTTGATCCAGGCATTGTCTAGTGCTTTTGTCGTGCATGGCGCCAATAGAAAGCTGCACCACGGCAGCAAGGGCCAACGGGTAGACAAATAACGGAGTATGTTTCTGGGTTGTGGAGCGTAGGGCGGCTAACATGGATATGGTCTTCGATGCTTCGATTGCCTTTACGGAGTGTATATGTTGACGATTGCAGGGGCAGAGAAGCTTTGTACAGTTGGCACCCAGTACGTCGTGCGTCAATAGATCCGGAGAAATCAGATCTCCTCTGGGATAGTGCAGCAAGATAGTACTCCATTGAACGATAGTGTGCGCTTGGAGCATGAGCTCGTCTAGATCACCGAACGTGTTCGAAATCTCCGCTTCGCTCTTGGATCGCGGTAAGTGGTAGAGAAAAGCAGCAAGTGCGTTGTCGACAGCTTGTACGAGGTCTCTATCCACACCGTGTTTTCCTGTGATAGTTAAGACTCGCCCGAGAAGGCGCACAGCTTCAATACGATAGCAGAAAGACGAGAAAACCTTTTCTTCTTCTGCGAATACATTGCCGTGGAAGTCTGCCATTGTTGCTGGCATGAAGCACATGCCGGCTTCGTAGATGAAGTCGTCGCACGGCAGTAGCACGTCAGCGTTGACCGTGTTGGTTTTGAACGTTGATTTTCGCTGTAGTGCGGCGATACAGCCGTCGATTACATACAATTCGTACCAGCTCCTTCGCATGCTTTCTTCAAGCACTGTAAGATCACCAGCATGCGTTGTAGCAAAGTCTTTTTGATGCATGCCAAGCCGCAAGGCCCGTTCGATCGTGGTATCGAGCAGTCTCTGCCCCTGTTCAGAAGAATTCTCCGCGAACAAGTTGATGGCATAAAGAAGACCTGCTTGGACCATTTCGACTGTGTCTTCGTTACTTTGGTCGAACTCTCGCGTGACACTCTCGCGCAAATCATTTAGCGATGCCGCATGAGAGAAATGACCACCAATAAATTGGACTATGGCTTTCAAGTATCGAGGATATCCTTGTTGCCAGTACATATCCCTGGGAAGCAGAACTGGGTGGCTTGGGTGGAAGTTGAGGTAATAAAGATTCACCAGTTGCTCATCGTCCGACCATGAGATATGCTGGCGTGGTGGACTGTCTGATGGTCCGCGTTGTAGTAGGGCCGGATCGGGTGAAGCGGTTGCATTGTCGAGTGGGAACCATTGCGATACAGAAGGCGTGCAGGTTGGCGCTTGATTGACGGCAGATTGCGCAATGGGATTTGGAGAAGCAGGCAGAGTCTGCTGCAACGTCGGCTGGTCCTCAGTATCTGGACGCGTTATGCCACGTCGGCGACCTCGTCCAGAGCGCTTGTAAGTACACGCAAAACCACGGGTTTGGCATCGCGCACAGATGGGTGTGCCTCCATCGCATTTCAAATGTGTACGACGACACTCTAGGCATGCGAGTGGGGCAGGGCGAGCATGATTTCTTGATTCGGAAGAAGGCATCCAATCTGTTGCAAGTCTGTTGTAGAGTGAGGAGGTTTCCACATTGCGGTGAAAGCGCGACGCGATGGAAGACGCCGAAGACGCCGAAGACGCCGATGATGCCAAGCAGGGGTGCTTTGCACTACCCTGATTTGGTCAAGCAAGGAGCCCTATCCTCCAGCACTTTCTAATCATTTCATTCTCTCTCTGGACCTTCAACGACGCTCTTGTACGTATCGCAAGCGGCCTTCGCTACTGGTCGTGTCCACTTTCGGAACATGGCGCCTTATCGAGATATTTTGTTCACAAGTTTTCGAAATAAGCGTCTAGACCTGCAAACATGTACGACGTGCAGAAGTGGCCTGAACATCGCATGGTACGTGCAAGGATGGCCAGTCACAGCTTCGATGGCAAATTGCTTGCATCTTCAGACACGGTATCACCTCTCTGCCGGTACGACCTGCCTGGTCTGCATGCCTTCGGCAGTACGATCTGCGTTGTGCGACAACAGGTATTGTTGCTTACTGTACGCCCGAATATCCACCAATTACATGCACTGAATCAAACCTGGGTGACTCTATTGCAGCGTCGACGCGCACAATTATATTTTCCTTATGGCACTTCGTCCAGGGTTCATTGAGATTCCATATCGTATGCAGGGCGTAATAAGCTAGATAACAAGCGCATGAGCCTTTGAGCATAAGTTGAGGCTTACCCCGACAATGGAGGCAGTCTGTCTTTCTTCCCATCCTAGGTTTCCATCGCGGAGTAGCGTCGACCCTCTTTCCGCACCATGGCTTCTCACAAGTCTGCAGAGGTTCATGCCAGGGGGGACCGAGGTGATTACCATGGCCAAAGCCAGGACTACAACTTGGTAGAAAAGAACGCGACGACAGCGGATGTGCAGGACATGCAACGGATGGGGAAGACGCAAGAGACACGGCGAAACTTCCGTTCCTTTACCATCTTGGGATTCTGCATAGTTCTCCTATCGACATGGGAGGCCATCCTGGCTACATCTGTCTTTGCGCTATCTAACGGTGGAACTGCCGGCCTGATTTGGGGATATCTCATCGTCATGGTTGGATTTGGTTTCGTAGTCGCCTCTCTCGCTGAAATGGCATCTATGTGAGTATGATCAAGGCTTTGCAAGCATGCCCGCTCACGTTTGGTAGGGCGCCCACGTCTGGCGGCCAATACCACTGGGTATCCGAGTTTGCGCCGCCCAGCTGCCAGAGATTTCTGAGCTATCTGGTAGGCTGGCTAGGTGTCCTAGGCTGGCAGACAGCAGCAGCAACCGTCTCGTATCTGGCTGGCAAGCAAATTCAAGGCCTCATCATCTTGAATAACCCGGCATACAACCCAAAAGCTTGGCATGGCACACTACTTATCTGGGCTATTCTGGCTGTATGCCTAATCTTCAACACATTTCTCTCTAGATATCTACCCCTTGTGGAGGGTGGGGTTGTCATACTACACGTCGTTGGGTTCTTCGCTGTCATCATACCACTTTGGGTCATGAGCGACCGGACGCACTCGTCGAGCGAGGTTTTCTCGGTCTTCCAGGATAACATGATGTGGGGAAATCTCCCGTTCGCAGTCATTCTTGGCCTTACAAGTGCTACTAGCACATTCGTCGGCGTCGAAGCTGGTGCTCACATGGCAGAAGAAGTACGTGACGCTGCTCATGTCATTCCTCGCGCCATGATGTGGACTTGGCTTGGAAACGGGCTTCTTGGATGGGTCATGGCCATCACCTTCTGCTTCTGTGTGACCGACACTATCTCCGTCCTTACTACGCCGCTTGGAACGCCCTTCATTCAGGTATTCGTGGACACAACGAAGTCGGTAGGGGGCGCAACTGCACTTACAGTTTTGATGTTGGCTATCGCTATCTTCGCGTGCGCTGCAGTTGTGGCTGCAAGCTCGCGTCAGGTGTTCGCTTTCGCCCGCGATGACGGTATTCCGTTTGGACAAGTTTTCAGCAAGGTTTGTGGCTTCCAGTGTCCGTCATCTATTGTTGAGAATATCATACTGACCTTTTGCAGGTCTCGCCTAAGCGGGAAGTACCAGTTAATTCTGCCTACATAACGCTGGTGTTCGTTGTTATCCTCTCATTCATCAATCTTGGCTCCACTGTCGCGTTCATGCAGGTCGTCTCCCTCGGTGTCGCTTCAATGCTGACCTCGTACATGATCTCGATCTCATGTATCGCATTGAAACGTATACGCGGCGAACCGCTTTTGCCATCCAAGTTCGATCTGGGAAGGCTAGGACTGCCGATCAACATCATTGCTGTCCTCTTTCTCTTCTTCGCTTGGATATTTTGCTTCTTCCCTGTTGGACCCCGACCGACGGTAGCAGACATGAACTGGGCCGTCTTGGGATATGGTATAGTCGTCTTGTTCGCAATCTTCTACTATGTTCTTCGTGGTCGACATGTGTATGCAGGGCCAGTCAAGTACGTTCGAAACGTGTGATTCACGATTGCTGGACTGATTCTGTATCCTGTCGGATCGAGACATATTGCTCTTACATGGTGCGGCATTTTCGTCATCATTACCTTCATAGTCGTTGTTTGACGAACCTTGACTATGTTTTCACAATACACTGCATGTACCTACAATAAGATCATCACAGGTCAACAAACATTGAAGTACTAGATATAAAGCAAGCACTCAATCACTCAAAGCGCCTGGACTATTGTTACGCAGTAATCAGGATCGGTCACGGAGGAAAGCGAAGAAAAAGACAAACGGATTCACAACCTGCGGCAGCCAACTGTTCTTGTCAATCACATTTCGTTGTTTGCATGCAAATATCGCCGCCGCGTGCATTCTACTCAACAATGTTCTCACGACTTCTCATCATCGCTCTTTCGGGTGCGTCGGCCATCTCTGCAGCGCCGGTGAGCGCTTTTCAATCCACCTCAGAACCAACAAAAGTCACAGTAATGATAACGTCAAGTGTTGCCGCTCAGAGTCTGTCGTCTACTATCGTTAATAATCTCCAGGCTCGCCAGTTGAGATTGAGCGAACCGGTGTGGAGCGAGCCAGCGTGGACACAACCTGCATGGTCCGACTCTGCTATTGTGCCTGTGCCAACGGAGCTAGTCTCGACGCCTTCCACGTTTCTCGCCCATAGCCAGGTATTCACGCCTACACCCACATCAACGTCCGACTGGGTAGATACGCATCGTCCAAATCCTGGCGAGAGCAAGACCGGTTTGATAACTTTTGCCAGTGTCCTGGGCGGAATCATAGGTTTAGCTTTTGTCTTGTTTCTTGTTACCTTAGTTCGGAGGTGTCTTCATGGGCGCATTCCTGCGCTACGTGCAAAGAATGCATCAGATGTCGAAGCGAACGCTGGTCTTCATCGCAACTCGCAGGCCCCAGCTCTCGATACTCCGCCTGGATCAGTCGGAACTTCTCGTACAGCATCCAGCGGTGGCATGCGCTCTATGCCACGTCAAAGCGAAGATGTCACTGACATGCCACGTGTGGCTAGCCCGCTTAATGGTTTGACGCATGGCCCACGACGCTCACGTTCACTCTATCAGAACAACATCCCTCCTCAAGAAACGCATTGGCCGTAAGAAGAGGAAGAGTAATACAGGACATGGACGCGCGCAATTAAACATCGTGGATCAGATGTCAAAGAGAGGCGGACGTTGTTGCAGCTGTTGTTGTATGTCAATAGTTCTTCGGTAGTGAATTGAATGCCCTAAAGGACTATCGATGCGTGACCAAATTGTAGAGAGCTCCCCAGCATACTTATGAAGTAGCATCTCATACTTACAACCACCCTGTTCGAGGAGGCACATTTGGGCAAGAACTCCTGGGCAAGAGATTGGTCTTGAGCAAAAAGTCGTTCTTGGACAGGAAGTGGATATACTGACCAGGCGGGAGGTCGGATTCGTTGGGAGGAAGGTGCGACATATTGCCTGAGCAGAAGACGAGAGACTACTGAGACGGGCTCTTGGATGGCGCATGCACGACGCAGTACAAACATACAACGATTGACTGGAATCCACGCGCTAACCTCCACTTATAGTCATTAGATGTAATTCATCAGTCGTATCCAGGGTATAAACTTCCCGCGCCGGACTACCAAACGCCTCTTATGCCCATTTTGCAATGCATACCAACGCAAGTCAAACGTGATATTCAAATTTCTCCGTGCCAATCCATAAAATCATCCACCAGTGATAGCTTCAAAGCTCAGGCTTGGACTTGTCATCGTTGACATCCTCCTTTTCTACGACGACAAAGTCATCGTCGGTATCGGACGTCTTCTGCTTCTTGGGGGATGGCTGCTGGATATCGTCGGTATCTTGTGGCTCGGCCGTTGGGGCGTCGGGAAGCTGCGATGCGAGCTCGGACGGCTCGGTAGACTGTTCCTCTTGCGTCTTGAAGTCGGAGGCAATGGGTGGGAAGAAATTACTTGGTGAAAGTAAGTAGATGGAATGAATTAAGCAGCATGTGGGACTTACGGGATGTTCTTGAAGTAGGCGTCCTCGTCCTTTTGGAGGAAGTTACAAAAGATGACACGGTCAAGCTTGTCTGCCTTGGCCTCGTCGTCAAGAAACTTGCGGACTGTCTCGAGCGCGACGAGACTGGCTTCACCACTCGGGTAGCCGTATACACCAGTGCTCAAAGCCGAAAAAGCGATGCTCCTGCACCCGTTCGCAACTGCCAAGTCTAAGCTGGTGCGGTAGCAGCCTGATAAGAGTTCTGCTGAGCGCGTCGCGCCTTCTTTCCAGTATATCGGACCAACAGCGTGGATTACTTTCTTGCTGGGCAACTCGTAGCCGTCTGTAATCTTGGCGCTTCCCGTATCACAACCGTCGAGTGTTTCGCACTCGTCCAGCAGGCCCCGCCCCGCTGCGCGATGGATGGCGCCATCAACGCCTCCGCCGCCCAGCAGTGAAGTGTTGGCGGCGTTGACGATGGCGTCGACGGCGAGGGTTGTGATGTCTTGCCGTATGACGCTGATCTTGTTGTTCAGCGCATCGGATGCTTCATGTTTGGACGTGGCATGGTCGTCGCGGGGTTCGATCTTCTTAAGCTTGTATAGCAACGTCAGGGTGGGGATCTCGTCGAGAGAAAGGGTTTCGGCCATGTTCGGTGAGGCGCTGCGAGATCGAGACGACAGCGGTCTTGCAAGGTAGTATGCGCTCGTCATGGGTGGTCGTAGTGCTCGGATTGCGAGTCCAAGTATCATCAAGGAAGGGTTGTGGGTGAGTGAGTACCTAGACAACAGGCACGCGTGGACTGGAGCTTGGGCCTCGCCCCTTCCCGCCATTACCCCGCTTACTACTGCGCCTCCTTCGTCTAGCCCGCATCACTTGTATACATAGTACAATGCTGAATCTCATTCACTCACAGGCTCGCATTCAAGTTATAGAAATACTAAGACATGAGGATGAACACGATTCCGCCACAGATCATCCACGCCTTCACAGCCCACTCAACCCCAGCGACGATTGCGTGGCATTGAGTATATCCCCCAGTTGTTTCCAAGGGTTTGGTTCGTTGACTTCGCACATGGTGTTTGGACGAGGTAGACTCCCGTCGAGCATATACTGCGTCTCGTACTCAGAAACGCATGTCACATTCTGAAAGTGCGCTGTATGCTGCAACTACCGGTCAGCATCGAGCAGTCCAAGTTGTAAAATAGAGGAAAGGGGTATCAAGGCCATGTTACCGAATCACTTACACCGCTGTTGTTGAAAGTGAGAAGCCCAGAGCCAGGGAATAGGCCATGCATCTTCTTCGCCGATGAAAGAGGTGTAATGGGATCGGCGATAGAGCTCACGAATAGTATCGGCGCGCTTGTACCATTCACTCGTGGTATTCCGTCAAACTTTTGACTGACAGGCGGCCGCACGTCCAGCTTGCTACAAATCGGCCCATTGATAGCAGCCACACTAAGTCCACCAGAGTTGCTTCGGTTATACATGTAGTTGACAAACTTCTTGTATTCTCCAAAGTCAGTATATTTGTCAGACCGACCGTCGGTATCGACGCAAGAGACTAGTGTCCTTGCCATGCGGTCGTCGTATTGAGGGCGAAAGGTACTGATCTGACTTTTTTCTGTTATGGCAGCGAGCGACTCCACGTCCTGTGTTTGCAGCGCAACAAGGACGAGGTCCATGACGTAAACATAGATCGGACTGATCAGGTACACGGCCGCAAACATCTGGCTGACAATATCAGTCCAGGTGAGCACGTAGGGTGAGAGGAGCACGCCCTGTGTTTGTGCAAAGAGGATCGAAGTGTTCGAGGTTGGGTCGCCTAGACCAATGGGTGATGACATGAGATCGCTCAGGAGGCTTTGGTAGCGTTTTTCGAGTTCCTGCCAGGAGGTGGCGTTCTGGTGAAACAAGCACAAAGCTGGACCAGCTTCGAAGCAGTACTTGAAGAAGTAGCTAACTACTTTATCGGTGTCATCGATGGCTGCTTCCCAACCGCCATCATAGTAGTCTTCCAGATCGAGCACACCATCGATGATCATACGACCAATACGGGTAGGATAGAGACTGGCATAGGTGGCACCAAGAATGGATCCATAGCTAATGCCATAGTACCACAGTTTGGCATCTTGTGAGGGCTGCCCACGATCTTGTGCACGAACCTCGATGTAGCGAAGCATATCTTGAGCTGTGGCCACCGTGTTGGCATATCTTGCAGTACCATTCACGGAGTACATTCCTGTACACCACTTGCCATACGCCAACGCTGACTGATGCTGTCGCTTCAAGATTGCCTCCGATGTCACATCCGCGAGGCCTAATGCATCCGAGAGGAAGGCATTACGGGTTTGGAAGGGGTACCCTACGAAGCAGTCGCTTGTGGGCTCGCTATTGTTGACACCACGAGGATCGATTCCCACGAGGGAGTAATTGGTGCCGATTTTGGCCTCGATAGCGGCGTGATCTGAAAGCACCATAGCGACGGAAGAGCCACCAGGCCCTCCGGGGTTGACAAGGACTTCTTGTGCATCATGGGTTGGGCCTGGCTTCTTGATGATAGCTACGTTGAGGGTACCAAGGGATGGTACCGCGTAGTCGAGTGGAACTTCCAGAAGAGCGCAGATGCTATGGGGTTTAGTGTTGTTTAGCTTGAGAATGCTGGAGACGCTCACAAGTTCTCGTAACAGGATGTCCAGGCAAGCACTGGACTGGCAGTCAACTGCAAAAAGAATTCAGTGTATAATCCTGAAGCTAGAAAAGAGAGTCACTGACATCCGAGAAGCTATATACCATGCTATCGTTCAGCATCCCAGCTACACAGAACCCGTGGGTCAGACCAGCGACGGCAATCACTATTTTGGCGTTGTGAATGTACGGTTTCATGGTTGTCTTTTGCGCTGTCGATGATAGTGACGGTATAACGAGATCAGGGAGGTACGGTCTGAGAAGACTATAATGAAGATCAAGATGCTAGAAGTAAGCGGACTATCATCTAGGGTTTGAGCGCATGAAACGAATGGCTATGAGGTCGGTCTTATAGGAAAAAGAATGCAAGAACTGGATTAAGGAGACGTATCGCATGCGGTAATAAGTTCGCAATCGCCTTGATATGTTCGACTTTGACCAAGTCCAGCAGTGAGGTTTCTAGGCGGCTGACGTAGCCGCAATAACAGTTGGAATGATTCGAACGCATTGCGTGCTGAACAAGTATCGCTGCAGGTCTTACTGCGTCTGAGCTGGACGCCTGCATCCAAACTACCTCAAGCGGATAGGTATACGCTATGATGCATGTTGCCAGAATTCGAGGAGTCTTGGCCATCTTGTTGGCTAGAACAGGTTAGTGTGCTTGTCTTACGTGACCCGTGGAAGTGAGAACAAGAATATTGAGTACACGATACCGTTCCACGCGACAAGACAGCCTCTACGCCCTTTTATGTCGAAGGTTCTAGTCGTTTGGCTACAAAGGAGGCGGCGAGCCATGCGAAGCTTTCGAAACGGTCGTGTGAAGTTGATGCGCAGTGGCAGCGACAAGAAGCTTTGAGGCCCGACTTGTGCATCGTCCGTCGGCCTCTCACCTCAATCTCTACTCTTGTTTAGAAAACCTGATAAGCATTGAGACAAACGTAAGATGTGAAGGCTCGCTGCATTCTCAGATGAAGAGCTATGTATAGCGGTTGCATTACCTAGGTAGTATCGGAGTCGCGCGCAGATGGGTCGAGGAAAGGAAGGAAGAGCTCGTTGGCGAGCTACCTCGGCTAAATGCGCGCAATGGCGTCGCGCATGTACGCGAACTGCGAACCCATGTCGGCGCAGCTACAGCCTCTGTCATTGTGCCATGTAGCGTTCTTGCGCTGCGATTTGCCATCATCCACACAATCCATCAATGGCTCCTAGTGCCCGCCAGTCAAGGCTGACCTGCTTTTGAGGCTTTGCGACACAAATGCGGACAAGCTCCGCAGGGTTTACTAAGATGACGCTGCACAAGTAAGCCTTGTACAACCAAGCCTTGCACGACACAAGCTATCTGCTCCTTGGACACAAACACGCCCAGGATCGACCTATGTGCAGGACCAAGCAAAGCCGTTATCAATAATATCAACCCCTCATGCTAAAAACAGCAGGTGTTTGGTTGCCAAGCCAGCGGGACAAACCGACCTAGCTGTAAGAGGCAGCCGGATATGCATTCTACTTGGGTATCTGTCTTGCCCTACGTAGCCGGCACCATGGGTACGGTAGATACTCCAATATTGATGATGCGCTTCCGAATATATGATAACATCCTCTCGACTCTCTCGGAACCTGATCTTCGCGCACTCTGTCTGCTCTTCGCCCAGCAGACTTCATAGAATTTCGCGAAGAACAATGGTGGCTCCAAGTCGACCTCAGGCCTCCATGGCAGTTGCCATTGGCATGATGCTTGACTTCGCAGCTTCTGCTGTAGTTCTCCGCCAGAGTCAGCCGTCGAATCCGTTCACGCCGATTGATCCTCAAAACTGGGTCAATCCAGACAATATGACGTGGGATGGTACGTCGGCGTGTCGTGTACAACGCTATATGTATACTGATGTTCCAACAGATTACAAGGCACCACCAACGACCAATTGGGCCGATCCGGCACGCAAGGGCAGAGACCGAAACTTCAACATTGCCATGGTGACCGTCGACTATCCAGACTCACCATTCGTCGTCACTCTACCGGCTCTATCAGATATCTTCGGTAACCCTCAGCCTCTTGCGGCTGGCTTGAGCCGCGATGACGTACCAAAGTTCTACCACGATCTGCTCAACGTACCCAGCGATCTCAACGAAGGCCACACGCTTCACGAGTACTGGATGGGTGATTCTTTCGGAAAGTATGGTGTTGATCTAACTGTTTTTGGCCCATACCGCATGCCCTCAAGAAGCTACCAGTATGGAGTTGACGATGAAGAGGGTGGTTTCAACGAAGGCGCTTGCCCTGAAGGCCCACCATGCTCAGTCGATCTCAGAACCGATGCGCTCGGAGCATGGCGCGCAGATGTTGGAAATGATACAGCAGACGCATATGAGTTGGCTTTCATCCTTTCTGCTGGCCAAGATGAGTCTTCAACATGGCAAGAGTTTGGTGAGATGAAGTTCCTTTCCAAGGAAGATGTCCCAGAGGAGTTTGGGCCACCAGACAACTCTACGCTTCCAAATTGGGCCAGCACTCGCTATGTTGAGTGGTCGTCGTGGGCTGCAGCCTCCACGATCTGGCCAAATGCTGGCGGTGGCTCGTCAACCCAAGGTGAATCTAGTGGCATGGCTACGTTCGCTCACGAACTGTCGCATCTGCTCGGTATTGGCGACAATTATAACAATCCTTTCAGCGACCCTCCTCGACGCACATACACCGGTCCCTGGAGCATGCTTTCACGAGGTAGCTTTAACGGACCTGGAGGTCCTCATACACGCTGGCAGATACCACCCGTACAAGGAGCCTCCATGGGGTCTCTACACACCATGCGTGACAAGCATCAAATTGGTCTCATTGATACCACGCCAATTCTCCAGATCTCTCGCGCAGGTCTCGCAGCTTCAGGCCCCGTCGTCGCGCAGATCACTGCTCGCTCTGTCGACCCATTTGGTAGCCTGATGGGATTCAACATCTCCTTTGGCGCTGCTGGTGACCTTGCACCACCATGCAACGCGACTCTCGACGCTTTGTGCGACGGTCGTGGCTACAACAACTACAACCTTGAAGTCGTTCAGCGCCTCGGTGCTGATTCCTTCTGCCCCGACTCAGGCGTTATGATTAGCAAGACCAAGAACAGCGATCGTGTGCAGCCATTCCAGTGGACGATTGATGCGAACCCACAGGATGCGCGTCAAATTGACTTTTATCTTCCCAACGGAACCGCGAGGTACTGGACGATTGGAGACTACAGACAGCTAGTGGATGCGCTGTTCCATGCTGGCACCGACTCCGGCTCGGAGTACGAGTACATCGATGAGGAAAACGGGTTGCACATGTACATTCTCGAAAAGCTCATGGATGACGCTGGAGTTCTGCACTACAATGTGGGTGTTGCTTCGACCGCGACTAACGTAACGACATCTGCTCAGTACGGTATCGAGCTTGGTTCTGGAAAGGTCGCAAGTAGCGGATACTCGACCAGTCCTGCTCATGGCACCTACTGCACGTTCGAGCTGAAGAACACTGGAAAAGCTGCAGTACTGGCCACAAACCCCCATCCGCAAGACCTCTCCGAATACCTTGGGTCCGATATCTACCGTCTGAGCGCAGACGTGAAAGGTGAAGGCTGGAAGGTCGCGGTGCCTAATGCGCTCGCATACGCAAAGGCAGGAAAGCAAAAGACAGTTAGTGTCGCTGTTGGCTGCGAGACCGGCTGCTCGAAGGAGGCCACCGTAACTCTCACTGCAACAAGTGAAAGCGATAAGACGGTCACGAAGTCAAAGACCTGCAAAGTCCGCATGTAAATAACGCATGTCAAACAAACATAAAATAGCTGTGCAACTATAGGTATACATACTAGACAATAAGAGAAACCTTTTTTAGAAGATCTTTT